GAATATGCTGTTCAAACATACAGCATGCCATTGCCTGCCTTCGACAGGGCAATTCAAATCCTGATGTGCCTGGCGCTCCAAGCGGTGGGAGCAATGACAGTGGTGGCTGCAGCGATTCGGCTGACACATCAGACGCGTCATCCGCGGAACAACACTCGCCGGTATTTGATACGGAGCTCGAACTGTACAGGTTCATAATGAGTTGTAACAATGGCAAGGGGATGTCTAACAAGGACACTGCGAGACTCTTCAGAATCCTACATGCTATTGGTCTTGACCTATCAAAGGTCAGAGGATGGAGATCAAAACGTGCAGTGATGCAGTACGGACTTAAGCTGTTGATGGGCAAGCGGAAATACATCGAAACTGAAGTGCGCGTGCCCGGGTTGCGTCGGACTTTCAAGGTCATCCATGCAGGAGGCGTCAAGGTGAGCGTTCTGAAGATAAGCTTCAGCCTCCATTGTATTCCAACATTCAAGCCGCAGATTCACCCACCCACTATGTGGACACCCATGAATGACCACACCCTTTTGGCAGGCACTTGATGAGTTTTTCAGCAATCCTGCCAACAAGCCTGGTTTCATTCTACACCCAGAGCGTAAAGTCGCGCCCGACGATGCGCACATGTACTCAACCCCGCACACAGCTGACTACTGGCACGAGGCAAAGGTATGCATGTGTCAACCATTGTCTCGGGTCAGCTGTCGTGATGATCTGGTGGCGGATGTGTTTAGCGACATATGCGCCCTCTCCGTGGCGTTTCAGTCCCTTGCTCCTCCGTCCATCATCTAGTTTCCCAATCCCGAGACTCTATCTGTGCATCCCTTCCTCTGTTCCTCCAGCCGTTGTGTCATTGGCCAGTTCCTCATACCCATTGTCCCTATCCCAATTCATACCACTGTCTGTTCCGCCCTTTCCCGTGCACTGCCCCTACCTCTGCTCCTTTCAACGTCGCAAGGTTGCATCCCTCACACTGTCCCGCTCTCTGCTATGTCAGGCGTCCTTTCCTCCGTTCAGGCCTTTATTCGGTCCCTTGCTGCCCCCTTCGAGTATCATTTGCTCCGTCCGCCGTGCCGTCTGTTGCGTTGTCCGCTGTATTCTATAATAACAACAGTCCATACCAGCTATTGGGTGCACCTCTGTCTTCATTCTGTACCGTCATGTCTGATTTGTTGTCCGCCTTGTAGTGTCTGAAAATGGCGCCGGTGTGTCTTATTTCAAGGCTAGCAACACACTGCCTTCGTGTTCTAATCATTCTCAGGCGTGGTTGGATGCAAAGTATGGACCAGGACAAGTCATTGCCCCACTGATCATAGCAAGTGATGCGACGATCCTGAGTGGCAATGACCGGCAGCGTGTCTGGGCCGTCTATCTGAGCATAGCGAACATTGCGCTACGTCTCCGCTGGCGTGATGAGGGGCGGATATTGCTGGCCCTACTGCCTGACAGTGATAGAACCATGTCCCCGGCACAAAAGGTCGCCTTATTCCAGGCCGCAATGGCGGTGGTGCTGGGCGACCTGGCAAGCGCCTCTCACCGGTGGGTACATACGTACCATGCTGTGTAGGTTCAAAACCCTTCTTGCCAATGTCTGGAAAGTTCCACTAACACCCACCGGGTCATGCATGTCTCACAGCGGCGTGGCCCTGCGTGACCCATGGGGAAATCCGCACACTGTTTGGCCTTCTGGTTTCTCTATAGTGGGGGACTACCCCGAGACCTGCAAAGTAACATGCACGCAGCAGCTGAACTCCACGAGGCCGTGCTCTTTGTGCTATGTTCTGCGCACAAGTCTCCGGGACATGGACTGCACGCCTGCAGACTATAGAACCGTAAAGCAGCAGAAGTACTTGGCTGCGAATTCTGCACTGGCTGCAGCGTACAGCACAATTCCTATCCCGGTGCGTATGGTGAATGCAACTAGACGCATGTTGTACGATGGCCGACTGCGTCCGTTAATCAGTGCGATCGTTCTGACCTTGTCTCGTAGTCATGTCATTCTGTTTGGTGTTGCATGTTTGAAGACATTCCTTTGGGCTTTCATGGGGTGCGAGGAGGAGTGAGGGAACACGTACATGGCTGTTATGCCTCATGTGTTGCACCTCATATACATCGGTCTTTGGCTGTACGTGAGGCGATCCATCCGCGGCAACGATGACTCGGCCGCCATTATGGACGAGTAACTACGATGGGTCTAATATCCCTCGTCTCTTCCCACCTCATTCCCTCACCATGGTCATCCCACTTTCGCGTCCTCCTAAACACTGGCGGGTCATCTGACCACTCCCTTGTTCCGTCACACATTCCTTCCACGGTCCGTTTGTTTGTCCCGTACTCAGTGTCACGCAATGGCTGGAAAGACTACCGAGCAATGGGACCTGAGTCTCTCACTCAATTCCATGTGCTGACACATCCTATCTCTCTCTGTCTGGTCTGCCAAAGTTCATAATCCCTATAAACCCCCACGCGTGCCGTTCTCTAAACCGTTCGCTGATCCTGCCTCATTTTTCCAGGCAACGTTTTTCGTCCTTATTCTGTCGCTCCCTATGTTCGTCATTGTGTTCCTCACACTGTTCAGTCATTTCTTCTTCCAAATGTCCCTTCCCCTTTTCCTCAAACCGTCGCCTACTCAGTTCCTCCCTCCGTGGTTTTGAGACATTCCCGGCGTGCATTGTTCAGGCGCAACGAGACAGCACATTCGGACGCAAGGCTGGCTGGAGTTATCGTCCCTGCAACAGCCACCTACTGGGCATCGGGTGCCAACCACACGGCGTCGGAGCATGCAGCCATGATCATGGTGAGCGTGTAATTGCCTCCTAGGAGATCGCTCGTGATAGTTTGTAATATGGGATCAATGCTTACAGTACGCACTCATATACTTGACTGCGTTGCCGTCCACATGGTCGAGAAATTTTGGTTATCCATATGGCAGCTCGCGCCTCTGATGGTGGAAGGTATGATGGCTTTGGTGCAACACCTGGCCCTTCTTCGCTTTATGGAGTGGCATGAGAATCACGTCCGGGCACCTCACCACACCAAAAAGTCATTGGAAGAAATGGCAACTGACACTCGTCTGTGAGTATATGTGATTAAGGCATTTGACCTATTCCACGTGTAATGGCTTTGTATGACTTGTGTTAGCCTGACGATTCATAATGGTGTTAGTCATTCCATGTCGCAGCATGATTCAGACGTTGGAGATCAACTTTCCCAGAGGACGTGACAGCTGGAACCTATTGAAGGTGCATCTCGCGACCCACCTGCCCGATTCTATTCGTAGGGCCGGGGTGCCGGCCGATTTCTCAGCCGCGCCATACGAGAATGCGCACGTACGGACTTGCAAACAGCCCTATAGGGCCTCTAACCGGCGTGAGGTTGGCATGGCCATAGCACACCACAACGAGCAACAGGCCATGCTCTCGGCTCTGCCTCCAAGCGTTGTTTCGCCGAGAGTTTACGACACCGCACTTTCGCAGGTAAGGCTTTATGGTTGTTCTAAACGAAGCTCTAGGTCTCATGGGTTTGAGCATGTCTCATTGTTTATGCACTTGTCTGTCCGCACTTCCTTGACCGACATCCTTAACAATGTTCCTTGCATGTACATCAAAGGCTATGGAGCACAACACCCCACGCCTCACAAAGAGTCGGAGGCGCATGGTGCAAGGACCTGTTTTAGGAGCGAGCGGGGTTGATGTGTACAAGGAGTACGACGAAGCACTTGTTGGTGGCATCGGTCCTTACTCATCCACCATGCGAAGCGCTGGATTCGTCGACTTTCCCGTTTGGGTAAGCCGATGCAATGAAGTAGTGACTGTTTCGTGGTCAAGGGCGGGTTTGACCACAGCTCGAAGGCCCCAACATCGTACTATCCATTTGGTGTCTGCATATTATCAGTCATGCTTTATCAGTCAAGCTTTATTCAGTCATGCCAATTCATCCCTGCACTCATTGGCAGGCATGATGTAACAGGGAATGCATGCCATATCTGTCGTGCTTTTGTCATGCATGCCATATCAGACACGGGCTTTTGTCAAGCATGCCATATCAGGCTTGCTTTTGTCAAGCATGCCATATCAGGCTTGCTTTTGTCAAGCATGCAATATCAGGCTTGCCATTGTCGTGCATGCCATATATAACAACCTTTTGTCAAGCATGCCATATCAGGCTTGCTTTTGTCATGCATGCCATATCAGGCTTGCTTTTGTCAAGCATGCCATATCAGGCTTGCTTTTGTCATGCATGCCATATCAGGCTTGCTTTTGTCAGGCATGCCATATCAGGCTACCTTTTGTCAAGCATGCCATATCAGGCTACCTTTTGTCAAGCATGCCATATCAGGCTTGCTTTTGTCAAGCATGCCATATCAGGCTTGCTTTTGTCATGCATGCAATATCAGGCTTGCCCTTGTCATGCATGCCATATCAGGCTTGCCCTTGTCATGCATGCCATATCAGGCTTGCCCTTGTCATGCATGCCCTATCAGGTATGCTTTTGTCGTGCGCATGTATACCGGGGCATCTCTTGCTGGCACTCTTATCCTACACTCAAACTGACAGCTTGTTCCCCATTACTCCCTAAACCCCAAACCACATGTTTACCCGTTGTCTGAAACAGGTGCACACATCGCTTGCTCTGCCCTTACAGCCCAGTCGTGGCGGAAGGCTACAGCCTCACTATGCACGCGCAATGCCGAAGCTTCATGGTCATCCCGCTTTCTCCTGGGTGCAATACAAGGCGGATAACAAGGAGTTGTGTATCGGACAAATATGCCTCCTCCTTACCGCAACAGTTGACGAGGGCTCGTCAAGAGCGCCCAACAGAGCAGAAGTTGCCGTCGTGCGGAAAATGGTCAAGGGCGACGTACATGCGGAATCTGGATGCACACAAATGTCGTGGGCGGTTGAGGAGAGTGGTTTTGTGGTGATCCCTATAAGAGTGATCGCGCGAACGGTTCACGTCGTGCAATCATTCAAGGATCCACATGTGTGGTTCTTGAATAAATGGGCCGACCGGTGCCGAGAGGAGCACACTTCACTTGCTTGACAAAGAGACGGACGGAGGCGGGTTGGAAGAGGGCGGTGAGGCGGACGGCGAGTTGGTGGCGGCGGTGGGCATGGAGGTGGCGCATGAGTAGGCCATGTACTTCCCCCCCTCCGTGCCCCCCGCACCTCCCGCCGCTGCGGCGACATCAGTTTTCTGCACCCACATCATATTGCTGCTGCCTTTTTCGGCCTCCCCCGTACGCTCGCTGCAATGTCAACCCTGAACTCCTATGCCCTCAAACTCTACTTGTCATCATGCTAGCCTTGATCTCGCCTCTCGCCTCGCGCCTCTCGCCCTGCGCCTCACCTCCCTCCCCCCTGCCTCGTCCTCTCATCCCACCCCCCCAGCCCATTCTTGCAGGGCCGCCCCCGCCTTGGCGGGTGGAGCAGCGCGAGGGCGTGGTCGACCTGTGGCTCACACACCCCTGCCACGGCGAGCAGCTGCGCGTGGTGGTGCGCCGACACGGCACATGGCCATGGGCATGGCAGGGAGGGAAGGTGTGGGCGGCAGGGAGGGCGCGGTGAGGGCCAGGCCTGTGGGGCGCATGAAGGGCGAGGGGCCAGGAGACGCTGCATAGGCAGCAGCAGCATGGCGTCTACTTTCAGGTGTGTACACTGCTTTTCAGCATGCTTTCTCTTTCTTCTTCTTCTTCGTTTCCCGGTGCCCGCTGATTCGTCGAAGTAGAGCCGAGCAGTGTAGCGCAGGGCAGAGTGGGAGAACGCCCCAGGTGCAGAGCAAGTGCAGATGCGCCGCCAGCAAGTGCAGATGCGCCACCAGCAAGTGCAGATGCGCCACCAGCAAGTGTAGATGCGCCGCCAGCAAGTGCAGATGCGCCGCCAGCAAGTGCAGATGCGCCACCAGCAAGTGTAGATGCGCCGCCAGCAAGTGCAGATGCGCCGCCAGCAAGTGCAGATGCGCCGCCAGCAAGTGTAGATGCGCCGCCAGGAACCAATGGTGGCTATCGCCCACAAAGCTCATGGATACCCCTCTCGTGTAACACGCCTATCCACTCCGATGGGGGAGGGCGAGCACCGGTAGAAGACCCACCTGGGGAGGAGGGGGGAGAGAGGATGGCATGGGGGGAGTGGCGAAGGTGGGAAGGGTGATTGAGGCGCCTCAAAAGACGATTTTCGGGGCGGCCCATAAGATAACACCATCCACACCCACGCGGCCATACACACTGCCCATCAACACCCATCTGCACCCATCTAGACAAGACCCAGCTTCACTGATCGACACCCATCCCCGCGCACATACCTGAGTGACCCAACTGCTTTCACCACCCCTGGCAGTGACGTCCCCACACACGGGGAATCCAGCCAATCCTCTGCCGCCTCCTGCTCCTCATCCTGCCTCTTGCCTGCTGCTTCTACATGAGTGGCGGCTGTGGTGGTGCTACCGCTGTTACCCTTGCTGCTGCCTGCCGCCGCTGCTGCTGCTCCTGCTGGTGTCAATGCTGCTGTTGATACCAGGACTGCTGGTGTCAATGCTGCTGCTGATACCAGGACTGCTGGTGTCAATGCTGCTGCTGATACCAGGACTGCTGGTGTCAATGCTGCTGCTGATACCAGGACTGCTGGTGTCAATGCTGCTGCTGATACCAGGACTGCTGGTGTCAATGCTGCTGCTGATACCAGGACTGCTGGTGTCAATGCTGCTGCTGATACCAGGACTGCTGGTGTCAATGCTGCTGCTGATACCAGGACTGCTGGTGTCAATGCTGCTGCTGATACCAGGACTGCTGGTGTCAATGCTGCTGTTGATACCAGGACTGCTGGTGTCAATGCTGCTGCTGATACCAGGACTGCTGGTGTCAATGCTGCTGCTGATACCAGGACTGCTGGTGTCAATGCTGCTGCTGATACCAGGACTGCTGGTGTCAATGCTGCTGCTGATACCAGGACTGCTGGTGTCAATGCTGCTGCTGATACCAGGACTGCTGGTGTCAATGCTGCTGCTGATACCAGGACTGCTGGTGTCAATGCTGCTGCTGATACCAGGACTGCTGGTGTCAATGCTGCTGCTGATACCAGGACTGCTGGTGTCAATGCTGCTGCTGATACCAGGACTGCTGGTGTCAATGCTGCTGCTGATACCAGGACTGCTGGTGTCAATGCTGCTGCTGATACCAGGACTGCTGGTGTCAATGCTGCTGCTGATACCAGGACTGCTGGTGTCAATGCTGCTGCTGATACCAGGACTGCTGGTGTCAATGCTGCTGCTGATACCAGGACTGCTGGTGTCAATGCTGCTGCTGATACCAGGACTGCTGGTGTCAATGCTGCTGCTGATACCAGGACTGCTGGTGTCAATGCTGCTGCTGATACCAGGACTGCTGGTGTCAATGCTGCTGCTGATACCAGGACTGCTGGTGTCAATGCTGCTGCTGATACCAGGACTGCTGGTGTCAATGCTGCTGCTGATACCAGGACTGCTGGTGTCAATGCTGCTGCTGATACCAGGACTGCTGGTGTCAATGCTGCTGCTGATACCAGGACTGCTGGTGTCAATGCTGCTGCTGATACCAGGACTGCTGGTGTCAATGCTGCTGCTGATACCAGGACTGCTGGTGTCAATGCTGCTGCTGATACCAGGACTGCTGGTGTCAATGCTGCTGCTGATACCAGGACTGCTGGTGTCAATGCTGCTGCTGATACCAGGACTGCTGGTGTCAATGCTGCTGCTGATACCAGGACTGCTGGTGTCAATGCTGCTGCTGATACCAGGACTGCTGGTGTCAATGCTGCTGCTGATACCAGGACTGCTGGTGTCAATGCTGCTGCTGATACCAGGACTGCTGGTGTCAATGCTGCTGCTGATACCAGGACTGCTGGTGTCAATGCTGCTGCTGATACCAGGACTGCTGGTGTCAATGCTGCTGCTGATACCAGGACTGCTGGTGTCAATGCTGCTGCTGATACCAGGACTGCTGGTGTCAATGCTGCTGCTGATACCAGGACTGCTGGTGTCAATGCTGCTGCTGATACCAGGACTGCTGGTGTCAATGCTGCTGCTGATACCAGGACTGCTGGTGTCAATGCTGCTGCTGATACCAGGACTGCTGGTGTCAATGCTGCTGCTGATACCAGGACTGCTGGTGTCAATGCTGCTGCTGATACCAGGACTGCTGGTGTCAATGCTGCTGCTGATACCAGGACTGCTGGTGTCAATGCTGCTGCTGATACCAGGACTGCTGGTGTCAATGCTGCTGCTGATACCAGGACTGCTGGTGTCAATGCTGCTGCTGATACCAGGACTGCTGGTGTCAATGCTGCTGCTGATACCAGGACTGCTGGTGTCAATGCTGCTGCTGATACCAGGACTGCTGGTGTCAATGCTGCTGCTGATACCAGGACTGCTGGTGTCAATGCTGCTGCTGATACCAGGACTGCTGGTGTCAATGCTGCTGCTGATACCAGGACTGCTGGTGTCAATGCTGCTGCTGATACCAGGACTGCTGGTGTCAATGCTGCTGCTGATACCAGGACTGCTGGTGTAAATGCTGCTGCTGATACCAGGACTGCTGGTGTCAATGCTGCTGCTGATACCAGGACTGCTGGTGTCAATGCTGCTGCTGATACCAGGACTGCTGGTGTCAATGCTGCTGCTGATACCAGGACTGCTGGTGTCAATGCTGCTGCTGATACCAGGACTGCTGGTGTCAATGCTGCTGTTGATACCAGGACTGCTGGTGTCAATGCTGCTGCTGATACCAGGACTGCTGGTGTCAATGCTGCTGCTGATACCAGGAATGCTGGTGTCAATGCTGCTGCTGATACCAGGACTGCTGGTGTCAATGCTGCTGCTGATACCAGGACTGCTGGCTCTCGCCAAAGCTTCACCACGTGGCGTGATTGTGATTGGCCAGGAGGCGAGGCTGTGCTGGTGCATGCGGTTGTGGTGCGCAAGGGCTGCGGAAAAATTGAGATTGGCGCACCCCACGTGCAGCGTCGCCCTGCAAGGAGGAACAGAGCAGCAGGGGGAAGGGTGTGGTGTGGGGGGATGCGGGTGGCATGGGGAAGGCGAGAGTCAGAGCGAGGGAGGGAGCAACTGGGTGCGCACTCCACATGCAGCGTCGCCCTGCAAGGAGGAGCAGAGAGGGGCATGGGGGGCCCGTAGGGTATGAGAGGGCAAGGTGAAGGAGGGAGCGGCTGGAACGAAGGTGGAGGGGGAGGTGAGGTTGCCGCACCCCACGTGTCCCGAAGGTGACCCTGGGTCGGGCTAGGGTTATGTTGAAGGGATGAGCAAAGAACCGAACAGGTTTTGATTTTTAGCTTAAATTGTTCACCCAAACGTGTTCGAGGTTTGCCCGAACACGTTCGTGTTCGTGGCGCTGCTGCAGAACGCCCCGTGTCGAACACGAACGTGTTCGAGGTTCACCCGAACACGCCTTCACAGGGGAACGGCGAACACCCTTGTTCGGTTCGCCGAGCGGCCATGTTCGTGCAAGGGCGAACGTGAACATGTTCGCGTTCGCCCTTTGCTCAACGGTCCATTGAAGTCGTCCCTTTTTGGCATTTTCTTGGCACTTAGCAGGGTAGAACATACAGATTAGTACTACTGTCTTTATTTTGCTAAAAGTGACTTCCCGACTGCAGCTCACCCAGTCCACATGGCTGTCGGGCTAGGGTTAGGTTGAAGTCGTCCTTTTTTGGAGATGAACAACCAATGAGACAAAACCAGAATTTTCGCGAACAGCAGCATCTCCTTATAAAATGAAACTCATCCAATCAACTCCTTCCCCCCCCCCCCACCCAAAATTGCATGCCAACTGAAACAGTGTATTTTTTATAAATTTCTCGACGCGCCCATGAAAATGGCAACTTTTGATAGAGAAACTTGTGATTCAAAACCTACCCCTTCTACCTACCCATCTGTTTTTGCGATGCAAGAGGAGCAAAGCAAAGGGGTTGGGAGGGATTCAAAGGTGGTGCCAAGGATTGGCAGGGATAAGGATGTGGTGCGAAGGAGGAGACAACAGAAGAGCAGATTGGTGAGGCGTACAATACAATCAACTACCTCACATTAAGGCGCCTCGAGATTAGACTCACCAGTAATTGCTGAAGTCCCACACACACGTGGTACGACACTCTAAACTACGTGCAGTGCAGAGGGTCTAGACACCTAATGTCCCCGTGAGCTAGCGCAGCGCCTCTTAAAGTCAGAGCTAAGTCGCGCTTCCACCAGCTCTCCTTGACCGCCTTCCCCTGCAACTGCTCCCAGACGCGGAAGGAGCAGCGCTGCCCGCGCTGACACGTGGCGCAACCTGAGCCGTGGATCACCACTTTCGCGGGGGACGGGAATGCATAGTCTGCGCAGGCAGATGCAGATGTGAAGGGAGGGAGGGTGAACACGGGGTTGCGTAAGGGGATTTAAACAGGAGGGTCGCATTGCATGAGAGAATGTTTTGGGGCGCGTTGACATTAGTCACGTCACATCACGTCAATGAGAAGGGAGGGGGCAGGGGGAAACGCGATGAGCGGAAACAGGATGGCGAGGTGCACGGGCGACTCGTCCAGTCCAGCATACTCGCTGTCGATCTTCGAGGCGTCTTGCAACTCGGATTTCACATGCAATTGGACGTCACCTATTCTTGAGGCGGCTCAGATATTTCAGGCCGCGCATTGTAAAACACAACCAACTCATATTTCGCATACTACTTTCTGGAATCTCACCTCCTGACGACGTCCAGCATACTCTTCGTCGTCTGGGCTGCGCTACGCTGCCATCGGAAACGCTGGAAGCAGCGCGAATGGCAGTAGCGCCATTACTAACGGCAGCGCCATTACTAACGGCGGCGCCATTACTAACGGCGGCGCCATCAGTAACAGCGGGAGATAAGTTATCTCCTGTTGCGTTTGTTTTGTAGGCGACAAGCAGCGGCTTTCGCAGCTGCAGGGGGAAAAGAGGGCCCCATTTTAAGCGCCACCTTCCGCTCGCTCCCCCTGCTGCCGCCAATCCCACCGCGCTCATGCTTCCCGCTCCCGCATCGGATCCGCCAGTCACCCATGGCGGTAACGATTCAGCTATAACGAGTACGAGGAGACATAGGATCATGACGGAAACGAGCACGTAGTGAGCCCCATCCATATAAGGCCCCAACTGAGGACTCCTCTCCTCGTCTATAAAACCTCACGTTTTGAATCCTAAAGTCGTCAACATGTGCGAAAACGCACGAGAGACGCGCGACAGGGGAGACGCTGACGACGTTGATGGCAGCACGGGAAGTGCATCATGCGACGACTCTACAAAATTCAAGAAGGAAAAAGAATGCTAAAGGATTTCATGGGGATGGCTTGAAGTTTTCCCCTGCCGTCAATGCTTGTGGTTTATCATGATGAATGCTGAACAGTTGACGTTTCTGGGAGGAATCATTTATTGGTTTGTTTCAGCACTCTTCAGCAGGTTCGGCAAGCAGTGCGCCAGCATGCTGCCAGCATTGCTTATCCTCACTAAAGCAACTGAACTAATCATTAAGCGCCTGTTAATAACGGATCACTATCACAATACACGAAACTTTTTATATTCAATACTAACAAGAAAAGGCAAAACACAAAATACAGTACAGCTTACAAAATGGATATGGGTGGTATTAAATCGTTACAAGAATTCATTCTCTGCTAAAAAAATGAAATGATCCGTATCTCATATACTTCAACTCAACCGTACACCAATAACAACCATAACCACAATACCAGGTTTGCCTTGTCACGGAAAAGCAGAAACGGACTTCCTACAATATACCCACGTACAACATACAACACATATGTATCATGCATTAATAAACAGCTTATTTCGGGCGTGACGAGGGGTCTGCACTCATCAGCAACACACGCAGCAGCGTTGGGTCAACACAGCAATGGTAACGTGCCATAAAACGAACGTGAACCAACAGATAAAGTAGGCCATTCATGTGGTTGGTTTATGAGTCGCTGGGAACTCCTCCAGGAACCGTGATAACCTTGGTGAAAATATGGCGATAAGTCTTCTGAAAAGTAAATACAATTAGGCGACGGTATTCTCGGAGGCTTGACGATAATGTCGGAAGTCGCTGGTATAGAGTGTAATCATGCGCGCTTGTACTCTGCAACGAAATAGGCAGTAACAAGGTTAAATTAGCCAATGCGTTCTTGGCTGGGACAGAAACTCACCTTATGTTGCATATAACTAGACCAGCGAGCGTATGGCGTGAGACGGTAGCGTCACCGCGAGATTCGTGCAGCCTGGGCGAAGTTCACGGCAGAAATCGTGCGCCAAAGCGGTAATTTTATATCCTGCTGGAGGGAGGACGTAAGAACAGAATAGATACACATTTCAGGAACGTCTGCGTAAGGAAGGAACAGATATGCAGCAGCCATGGAACCGTGCAAGCTAAGAGAGTGTAGAAAATGGAGCATGAAAATCTTCACAAGTGAAAATGAAAGCATGCTGAGGTGTTGGTGATTTTTGAGTGGCGAGGGAGAGAAATGTCAACTTCTGCACGGTGTTGGGTCGCACGCGAAGATTGTCGAAATGTTGGCGACCTGGTTTTTTGGGGTTGTCTCTTCGCCACACCAGGCCAAACCCATCAGCGGTGTCACATCTGATGGTGACACTGCACCTTCAGGGTGACTGTTTCTGACGCGTCAGCAACATCTTATCTGGTTCAATTCTCGCTATAGTTGTGTTTGTTATCACGCGACGAAACATCAGCATCCGCGATTTCAGATTCCCTGTGTTCGTGAAAATTCGGAAGAGCATGTGCACCACTCTACATCCAGCATAACCGAAATAGATTTGCTGTATCAATCGAAATTGGCACGTGCGGGGCTGGGTTCGACTGCGAACTGCTAGAAGCTGCAGAGATAATGGGGAAGGGGGGACAGTTTCTGACATGTGTTCCAATGTTTCAGCACTGTTCTCCCCCCTAAAGAATGTTTCAAGTAACCCTAGTCATTGCTCGTTCATTGGTCAGTGTGCAAAGATGGGGAAAACCGAGTTTTGGGCATGGGATGTGGCGTCTCACATTTTGTAGAGGATCGCGAACTGAGCTGCGAAGCTTGCGACACAGAGTCCACAATCGCAGTGCGTTTTTCAAGGTCGATCGACTCGGAGTGATATCCGTGTCCATTCGACCTACCGATGATGCCTGCCAGGCGCCTGATGTGAAGCGAGAAAGAATAGCGCCTCGCGAATAACTTAATGGTTCGGGCTTAGATCCGACAATCTTCTGAAACACTTGACGAGTAAAGCTTTATCCGAAGCTGTTTTGTCGCCATCCTTTGCGAAGCTCAATAACAGCCTGTCCCCGAGCTAGATTCGCGGAACAGGCAAGGGACGTCTGTGTAACTAATAAGGGCGTGTCCCATGAGTTCATTTGGGGAGAAAATCATATTTTTTACGTAACTTCGACCAAGCAAAAGAGTGTACACTCAGACGTGAAAAACACGCAGCGCGTCAGCACAGCGCCAAACGAAATTGACCCACGCGGACTCATAGCCCCACCCACACAAAAATCGTCATCCGAACATGGGCCGCGAGCGGTAACCCGCCACAGTGCGAATCAACTGCGCCCCTTGCGAAACTTAGTTTTTTCTTCACGCGACTGAATGTGCGCGAAGTCTCCGATTGGGGTAACGGAATGGAGGACCTGGTACGAAGTGATCTCACGTACCTTGTACGTGGGATAGTACGGACATCTTGACGTCCTAGGCGTGTCATCCGGTGCGTCACTGAAGACGCATGTCATGCAGGGAAGGGTTACAGACGGGAAACAGAGTTACAACACTGAACTTGAACTGTAAACGATTTCGTGGGACACGCCCTAAGTGGGAAAAGTATGTCCATTCCTAGTACACTGGATGTTGGGACTAGGAATGGACATACTTTTCTGTGGTGGGCTAAATTCGAAAGGTTCATCCTGGTGCGCAAAGGTCTGAAGCGGTGACAACCTAAGGCGATTGACAGAATTGACCGCGTCAAATGGCCCTAGAACCGCCCTACATAAATTCTGGTACAGCAGAGGGGGGCGAGGGGGAGGTGCGGATGCGAGTGCACTGCACCATTGCAGGCGACTGGTGGCTTGTGAACCACGTGAGTTTCCATGGCTCTGCCTAGCGTGACACGGCACAAAATCATCACTCGCCGCCTCTACACATCTCGGCCCTCCATGGCCCCCCATGCCCCCCCATGTCCCCCCATACCTCCCCATGCCCATAAATGCCTGCCCATGTCCCCCCATGCCTCCCCGTGTCCCCCCATGCCTCCCCATTCCCCCCCTGCCCGCCTTGGCCCGCCACCCCATGCGACCCCATCATTTTCCCTGCTCGTCTACGTCACGAGTAGCTCTTGGTTAGTTATTCTCTTTTTCCAGCTTTCACCACTGACGCGCAATCTGAACGTCATGCGTCGCCCGGGTGTCCACCCAGTGCAGTGTTTTTATGTATAAGCGCACAAACCCGTGGCCCACCTGTCTTCTCTCAGAGTGCGCTTAATCCACAGCCACACATCCTCACGGTCATGGCACGCGACCACCCTACTCCCGACATCTTCTGGAAAAATGTGCTACGTGCAACCTCATAACATATCCGTCTCACAGCCCTCCCTTCACTCCACACTTCACACCCCCTGCTGAACTAGTCACAAACACGATCAGTAGCACTTACTGATGGTAATGGCGTGGGACGGCAGCCTTCTGTTTTGTTTCCTCACTTGCGCGACTAACACCTCTTCCACACTATCGACACATGTCTTGATCAGCAAAACCCCCACACTCTCTATTCCTTGCCAAACCCCCCCCCCCTCCCACGCGCGCAGACACATGGCCATAACAACAGAAGGGAGCAAAGGAGGGAGCAGAGGAGGGGGCAGAGAAGGGAGCAGAGGAAGGGACAGAGGAGGGAGGAGAGGAGGGAGCAGAGAAGGGAGCAGAGGAGGGAGCAGCGGATGGAAGATTGGAGGGAGAAGAGGAGGGAATGGAGGAGGGATTATAGGTGGGAGCAGAGAAGAGAGCAGAGTATGAAGAAGAGAAGGGAGCAGAGGCGGGGCCAGGCGAGAGTAGTGGAGGGAGAAGAGAATAAAGAAGAGGAGAGAGATAAAGACTAAACAGAGGTTGGAGCCGTGGAGGTGGCAGACGAGAGAGCAGATGACGGAGAAGGGGAGGTAGAAGAGGAGGGAGCATTGGAGGGGCCAAAGGAGAGAGTAGTGGAGGGAGAAGAGGATGAAGATGAGGAGAGAGAAAAGGAACTCTAACAGAGTTAGGAGACGAGGAGGGGCAGAGGAGAGAGCGGAGTGGAGGGAGAAGGGGAGGGAGAAGGGGAGGGAGAAGAGGAGGAAGCAGTGGCGGGAGCAGAGGAGGGAAAAGAGGCGGGAGCAGAGGAGAGAAAAGAGGAGGGAGCAGAGGAAGGAGCAGAGGTGGGAGCAGAGGAGTGAGCAAAGAAGAGAGAAGAGGAGGCAGCAGAGGAGGGGCAGAGAAGGGAGCAGTGGAGGGAGCAGCAGAAGGAGGAGAGGAGGGAGCAGAGTAGGGAATGGAGGAGGGAGAAGAGGTGGGAGCAGAGAAGAGAGCAGAGTATGAAGAAGAGGTGGGAGCAGAGGCGGGGCCAAAGGAGAGAGTAATGGAGGGAGAGGTGGATGAAGAAGAGGAGAGAGAGGAGGACGGAACAGAGGTAGGAGACGAGGAGGTGGCAGAGGAGAGAGCGGTGGAGGGAGGAGGGGACGGAGAAGCGGATGGAGCAGAGGAGGGTGCAGAGGAGTGCGAAGAGGAGGGAAATGAGGCAGGAGCAGAGGAGAGAGAAGAGGAGGGAGCAGAGGCGGGAGCAGAGGAGGCAAAAGAGGCGGGATCAGAGGCTAGGAAAAAAGTGAGAGCTTTGGAGGGAGCAGAGGAGGGAGCAGAGGTGAAAGCAGAGGAGGGAGCAGAGGAGGGAGCAGAGGAGGGAGCAGAGGTGAAATCAGAGGAGGGAGCAGAGGAGGGAGCAGAGGTGGGAGCAGAGGTGAAAGCAGAGGAGGGGGCAGAGGTCGCAGCAGAGGATGAAGTAGAGGAGGGAGTAGAGGTGGGGGCAGAGCAGGGAACAGAGGAAAGAGTAGAAGAAGGAGCAGAGGAGGGAGAAGAGGAGGGAGAAGAAGAGGGAGAAGAGGAGGCAGAAGAATCTGCCACGCCTCAGCGCGCGTATACGCGTCCCTGAAGCCCCCCCTTAAACATGGGCACCACATGCCCAAGCCTCCCCTGCAAGCGTGCGCAAATACTGCCTTACCTCACATGAGTCTCTCACGTTTGTGTGTGATGTGCAAGAACATCAAGCTCTTTGGTTTTCCGGCCACTATCAATGTCAGTTCTCAGTTATCTCGTACATGGCGATGGTCCACTCTGAAAAATTGTGTGCGCAATATAAACAGTGCACGCGCTGTGTGGTGCAATTGTGGGCCACACTTACTCCAACAATGGCCCTATGCCCAAGTTCGAAGCAAACAGAGGAGTGGCGTCGTTATAATTGCTGCTGCAATTTGCATGCAAAGACTAGTGGACAAATTACAAGGCAGATCGACAGTTGTTAGTTACCCTAGCAACATTGTGATTGTTGTATAGTTTATTTCTGGTATTGAGATTTATGTAATGATCAAATATGCGTTGCATGAACTCATTTGTTTCAAAGGTTTCCCATTGTATAAAAGCTAAAAGATGTATTTGGATCGTTAGATTAAATAAACACTGACAGTGTGTTACGTAACTTCACCAGGATGGAATGGAAACCCGCCAACCTATTTCGTGGCTTGATTCGCTGGCTTCCGCGATTGTGTTCGGTTGGATAAAATCAGTCTGGGACAAGTCTGTGGTGCACCTCGCTGGCATGTTGTCAGTTTAGGTCAGCTGCGCGATCAGATTGAGCCATGTTTCTGTAGGTAGCCCCGAGGTAACCTGCGTTGGGAGTGAGTTGGGCCCCCCCACAATTTTTGAGACGCAATGACGCACTGCCTCTGCCGCCAAGCCCTTTTCTCAGGGTCCGCGTGTAACAGAAAAGTTACTCGCAGCGGCTGTGAGGTGAGGGGCTGTCCCAACAGCCGGAGAAATGTTAGGACGAGTAAACCATGTGGGCTTCTCGCGAGATTCGGTATGCTAGGGATAAGATAAGTGGGGTTTGAGATAGGGGAGGAAGTGAGCTAGGGATAAGAGGGTTGAGCTGAGTCGCAGGCGGCGTGTGGATTGGAGCAACTCCAACAATTAGTCAAACAGAAAAGTTCAGTTACCCTGTTTTGTTCCAAGGATGCATCATGCAATCCGAACCAAAGCTCTTCGCAGCAGTAGTACAGCTGAGACCACACAGTTGGCTATTAGCGGGAAGTCCCAATGTCTCGTGCCCATGCTGAACGACTTTTTTGTTTGTAGTGCGCTCCGCATGAATACACGTCGGTTACAGGACGAAAGCAGCTGAGCGTCGAGCAGCTACAGTACATACATACGCAAATACTACTATGAAGGGGCCATATCCGGAAAATAATTATTCGTCTGTGCATATACGCCATTGCGTCGTAAGAATACGAGCAGTAAGCCCAAAGAAACTCTTCAGCCTGTTCGCAGCTGTTTATTCGGAGTCGGAACCATTTGTTTTATTTTTAATTTATTTTTTAAATCAATTTGCCTACTTGAGTTCATGCCAGGGAGATGCTTTACCAGACCCAGCAATCGTCATACTTCCCGTCCCCATTGTATGAACCACCGATCCAGCCTGAGTGGACCAGATGCATGACATCTGTCGTGCTACTTTCCGCGCGAGCCTTCTGGTAAAAGGAACAGCATGCTTATAAATCGGGGATTACATTACGTCACAGCGATCAGGCTAACATACTACTAGATGTCACTCAACCATGCATCCACAAGCCGATGCTCCTAGTAGTGATTTTTGTATACGAATGACCTATTAATCGCACGGAGCGATAACGCTACTTACTCTTGAATACGTCATTGATGATCTTACCAACAATACCAAACACGCACCAAAAATCACACCCGCAACCTTTCTGCTTCTTCTCGTCCGCGTTCTGCGCCTCCGCGGGCGGCGCTGGTGCTGGTTGTGCTGCTGCGTCCGCCATGATGGTGATGTGAAACTTCCGAAACACTTCCGATATCCCCAAATGTGGATCGTACGCGCGCGGGTGCAATGTGCACACTTGCGAAAACCAGGCTGGCGAGTTCGCCGCACCGTGCGGTTCCAGCTAGTTAGGGTCTGTCCCTCACGCGTCTGCGCGTGGTACTTGCTACTGGCAAGCTTGGGTGGTCTGGAAACTGGTGCTGCTACTGGCAAGCCACTATAAGAGCCAAAGATGAGGGACGAAAATAAAGCGTCAATGACGATCCGCTCTGCTGTTGGCTGAATGAAATGAGAGTCGCGCCAACTGTGAAAGCCAGTGCATCAAGGGATGGTGATCCAACGTACAGTACTGTGATGTTTTGTTCGATTCCCGCCTGGCATAAGCACTGTACTGTTCCACACAATGGAAAGAATCACGCATGATCTACGGCGTGCTGTGTTCAGTGTGAGGTGCCTAGCTTCATGAACCTCCCGGATTAGTCACTAAAAAAAATGAACCGCGTGCGATTGCCGTGCCGTGCCATAGTGGTACGTACAGTACACTATCGGAACTACCGATTCTGGTGCCCCAGAGTGTGTGGTGCAGCGTGCCGTGGAGGTGCCGTGTGGCTGATGTCCCCTCCATCACTTAGCCGAAAATCCTGTCCACATGCATCATGAGATGTATCTAGCACATACAAAGGAGCGACTCGAACCTTGTCAAGGGGTTGATCACACCACCACCGCCGGTGTGCTTTTTAGCTAAAAACGAAACCATCCGTGCTTCTTGCTGTCAGATCCGCAACAACCAACAAAACCAGAGGCTGGCGGGTTTTGGAGCATCGGTACAAGAGGACCTCAATGCAAGAGAAAGTGCGACATAAACAGTATTATCAAAAGCAATGAAACATTACTATTGAATTTCAACTATGATGTCAATCTAGCCCATGTGTATTGCAAGACCAATGAAATGGCGTACACATACTTGCTGTACATGGCATGTGAATACATTGTTGAGGGCATAAACTGAGGAGACAAAAACACAGTACAATATAAATGTAGTTCCAGCAACGGATATTATTTCAAATCTGTTTTGCTAATTAAAAGGCCGTCCGTTGCTCGAGTTCTCTGTCTATTTTGGCTATTGATTAAACTTCTTTCCTTTGGTGTCTGACGCTTGCTGCCATGGCCAAGCTTTCGGGAGAACCAACCCAAGGGACGGGAAAGTTCAGTACTGGAGCGGAATCACAATACAGCACAATCAATTACATATGCTTTCCATAATGCAGCCGAACACAGCACCCATGCTTTCGAACCAGTCGAACTCACAAGGGCCACAGCAACCTTGCGCTGCAGGTTCTGTCATATTGATAACCTCCGCGGTTGCTAAGTCTGGCGCTGCGTCCGTCATGATCAACGTTGGACGTGGTACTAATCCACAAGTGGAAAGTAGCCGCTACACAAGTGCTGCAGACGTCACGAAAAGGCCGCTATTCTTAGTCGAGCGCTTCTCTCGCGTGCTTCTGCGGTCGAGATCTAAATGTGAAGTGGGGGAACTGAACTGGTGACGACAAGCTCCAGTGCATTGGATAATGGATAGCCAACACCCTCAATGAGAGCAATAACAAAGGAGTGTCAAGAGGCTCTGAGAAGGCGACTGTACAAGAAGCAGGATGGAACATCAAACTGTCCCCATCCGAGCGCCACCGTACTGTACCACACTAGCAGTAGACTCCAGCGCACCGAAACGTTGTTTACCACTCGAAGCTCGTACTGGAGGCATGTCAAGTGAAGACCCTATCATGTTCCACGCGTAAGGAGGTAAGGAAAGCGTGGTGCCAGCCTGCCAGCAGTCACGAAGGTTAGGATATTTTCTGGATAAGCAAGCTAATGGAATGTATTTGTGGTGCGTGTAGGTTCGCAGGCCAATGGAGCGGATTGGCTGTTTTGTGGCTGTGTTGGGCGACGGCAGTGGTGCGTGAATGACTCGCATAGATCTGCCTACGATACGTGCTAGACGTGGGAATGCGTGCGAGACGTGCAAGACGTATGTCGTACGATATGTGAAAGCAAGAAGGTTTCACTATTCTCGCTAGTGACAGCTTCGTGCGAAACTGCATACATTCCATTTACATTTTCTTCACCCATGAGTCAATCAACCAGCACCCATTTACAAGAGGGTCGATGTTTGCTTTCTTGATCAACATTACCGTATCAGATGGAATGGAACTCCAAGCATTCGAAAAACAAACTGGAAAACAATTCCCTTTGGAGGAAGAGGCTAATGAAGATACTGCTAGGGGTTCAATCAACCAACCCCAGTTGCTATCTAGGCTGTACATTAACCAGCAGGCCATTCTTCATAAACAGAGTGTGAGAGACACACTGTACTGTATCTTGTGCCCTGGAAATGGCTTCAAACGATATTTTGTAAGCACACTCGCTGCCACGGATTTCATCTGCATTCAGAGGTGAAAAGGGGAACAACGAGGTCTCAGAGCATCGGTAGCCAGGCAACACAGGAAGCTCAAGGCCCATCTGAGATTCATTCTCATGCTGTGTAGAGAGCCCATTAAAGCACCAGATGTGCCAACCAACAGATCACCTGACCTGCAGGTACACCAGATCTCGGCCGAGGCAGAGCCTTGGGCCGGCATTGAAGGCGGGGAACTTGAAGGGCGACTCGCTCCTGTGCTGCCCCGCGCTGTCAATCCACAGCTCCGAGCACCACTCACCATGCGAGTCACTCAACCAACAGCGTGCAGCACACACACATGCATGGGGACTGACCTGCAGGTAGGCCAGGTCTCGTCCGAGGCAGAGCCGTGGCCCGGCATTGAAGGCGGGGAACTTGAAGGGCGACTCGCTCCTCAGCTGCCCCGCAGAGTCGACCCATGGCGTACCATAAGTTACCATCACGCCCGGCGCACTAACCTGCAGGTAGGCCAGGTCTCGTCCGAGGCAGAGTCTTGGGCCGGCATTGAAGGCAGGGAACTTGAAGGGCGACTCGCTCCTCAGCTGCCCCGCAGCGTCAATCCACCTCTCCGGGCGATACTCGCGGGCGTCAGGGCCCCAGATGCGTGTCATGCGGCCCATGGCGTACCAGAAATAACCATCAAGACAGCAGCAGCAGCAGCACTAACCTGCAGGTAGGCTAGGTCCCTGCTGAGGCAGAGCCTTGGGCCGGCGTTGAAGGCGGGGAACTTGAAGGGCGACTCGCTCCTCAGCTGCCCCGCGCTGTCGATCCATCGCTCCGGGCGGTACTCACGGGCGTCGGGGCCCCAGATGCGTGTCATGCGGCCCATGGCGTAGAGCGCGTACATCACCCGCCACCCCTTCTTCACTGGCGTTCCATCAGGTAACACGTCGTCTTCACTCACGTGCCTGGTGGGGTGGGAGGGGGAGGAGTGACAGGAGGAGGCAGGCAGAAGTGAAGAGGTCTATCCACTGCTCGGGGCGGTACTCGCGGGCATCAGGGGCCCAGATGCGTGTCATGCGGCCCATGGCGTAGAGCGCATACATCACCCTCCAGCCCTTCTTCACTGGCGTGCCGTCTGGTAACACATCGTCCTCACTCACATGCCTGGAGGGAGGGGAAGATTGTGAGGGAGTAAGTAGAAGGTCAAGCACCCATGCCATGCGCCCCATGGCGTAGAGCGCGTACATCACCCTCCACCCCTTCTTCACTGGCGTGCCGTCTGGTAACACATCGTCCTCGCTTACATGCCTGGAGGGAGGGGCAGGACTCAGGAGGGTTGGATAGAGGCACAGAGTATCCCTGAGGGCGGCACAGGGATGTGTGCTGCTCTTGAAATTTTCTCCGGACACCAATTAGAAAAGCAACAACTTAATTTATGAGGCGCCTCAAAAGAGGTAACGAGGTGATTTTTTCGGCGCCTCAAAAGAGGTGATTTTTTAGGCGCCTTAAAATCCTCCGGACACCAACTAGAAAAACAACAGTATAAATTGTGCGCAAAGAAGCTTGCTTGCTGCACTCACTTGGTGTCAGCGGGCACAGAAGGGTAGAGGCGCAGAGCTTCATTAAGTGCTGCGTGTGTGTAGGTCATGCTGCTTTGCGCTTACCTTGTTAGTGAGTGGCTACTCACTTGGTGTCAGCAGGCACAGAAGGGTAGAGGCGCAGAGCCTCGTTGAGAGCCGCGTGTGTGTAGGTCATGCTGCGCAGCTCGTCATACGTGAACGTCTCCCTCTTATCGCCTGCACGTGGGGAAACGCGATGCGGGGGAGAAGAGGTGGGAGAACGAGGCGGGAAAAGGTAGGCGAGAACAGGGAGGTGGAAACGGGGGGGGATAGGGAGGAAACACTGCAATCACCCTTCCAATCTCCCTTCATTCTCACTTTCCCTCACTGCCTTCCGCCGTACCTGCGTCACGGCCGGCAATGATGCTTCTTGCCTCCTCCACTATCTTGCTCTCCACGTGTGGGTGCCAGCTCAGCAGCCAGAAGAACCACGTCAGCAGCACGGATGACGTGTCCCTGCCAGCTAGGATGAAGTTGGTGCACGCATCGCGCAGGAAGCGCTCCGAGTACAGCTGGCCCCCGTCGTCCTTCTGGAGCATCATCATCCTGATGGGGGGTGGAGAGAGGTTGAGAGGGATTGAGAGGTCGCTCGGAGTACAGCTGGCCTCCATCGTCCTTCTGGAGCATCATCATTCTGATGGGGTTTGGCGGGAATTCGGGGAGACGGAAAAAAACAAAAGTTCAAAACCGCAGCACAGGATAATTGGAAGTAAGCGCTCCGAGTACAGCTGGCCTCTGTCGTCCTTTTGCAGATTCATCATCCCGACGAAGGGGTGGCGGGAGGGGGAGGAGGCACGGGAGAAAAGAGTAAGTTGGAGGGAGGGGGAGGGGGAGGGAGAGCGAGGGAGTAGCGGAGGAAGCCGCTCTGAGTACAGATGGCCTCCGTCGTCCTTCTGGAGAATCATCATCCTGATGGGAGGTTGGAGGGAGGGGGGAGGAGGCACAGGAGAAACGAAGAAGTTTAGAGGGAAAGAGTCTCGGAGAAGTGCGCAGAGAACAGCTGGTCTCTGTCGTCCTTCTGGAGAATCATCATCCTGATGGGGGATGGAGGGAGACGGGAGGGGGGTGGAGGGGGGTCGAGAGAGACAAGGGAGATAAGCTATATTTGTTGGATTGGAAGATGTCAGGGCGGCTGAGGGGGGTGCCGTGCTCGCCTTCCTCATCATCTAGGGGTGTTTTTGAACATCTTCAAAATTCTCTATTTGGGCCTGAGTGAAAACACAACTACAGAGGCGCATTGAAAGGAGGGAGAACGGACCTGGAGAGAATGTCGGAGTGCCCCAGGGAGACGTCATCCCTGCCCTCCTCCTCCTCCTCCTCGCCCCCCCCTTCCTCAACCTCTAGGTGTATTCCGAGTCACAGGCCAAACCACACCTTGTGAGTCACCTCTGACTCAGACCAGACCTGGAGAGAATGTCGGAGTGCCCCAGGGACACATCATCCCTGCCCTCCTCCTCCGCCTCTGCTCCCCCCTTCCTTAACCTCTCCAGCTGCTCCTTGCGCGTCTCTATCACCTTATGTGCGAACTCGTCAATCTCCTGAGAAACAGATATGGACAACACGGGGGTGTTTGGAGGGGGAGGCGAGAGAGGGGGTAGGGAGAGGGTAGCATCGGGTGGAGGCAAAGAGAAAAGAGCAAGGGTATACAAGCCGAGACCAAGGGGAAAGGGGTGATAGATAGCTGCTGATTCCTTCCTACGGGGCCTGAAGAAACCAGAACAGGGATAGCTTTCCACCGCAATGCATGCATGTACAATGTGATCTGTGCGGCACTTACCTGCACAGACGCTTTGAGGATCTTCTCGTGTGCAATGCCCCATGACATGAAGAGGCTGCGAATGGAGTCGGGGAGAATGTTGCGGATCTGTGTGGCCTGTGATGTGGAGAAAGCAGCAAGAGAGCAGCAAGAGAGCAGCAAGAGAGCAGCAAGAGAGCAGCAAGAGAGCAGCAAGAGAGCAGCAGAGAGCAGCAAAAGAGCAGCAAGAGAGCAGCAAGAGAGCAGCAAGAGAGCAGCAAGAGAGCAGCAAGAGAGCAGCAAGAGAGCAGCAAGAGAGCAGCAAGAGAGCAGCAAGAGAGCAGCAAGAGAGCAGCAAGAGAGCAGCAAGAGAGCAGCAAGAGAGCAGCAAGAGAGCAGCAAGAGAGCAGCAAGAGAGCAGCAAGAGAGCAGCAAGAGAGCAGCAAGAGAGCAGCAAGAGAGCAGCAAGAGAGCAGCAAGAGAGCAGCAAGAGAGCAGCAAGAGAGCAGCAAGAGAGCAGCAAGAGAGCAGCAAGAGAGCAGCACGGGCAGGAAAAGTAGGAGTTCAGAGGAGATGCTTGGAAGACAAACAGGATGCAGCGGATCTGAGCAAGCACCCTGTGCTTCCCCTAAAGGATGCTGCGAACGAAGCATGAAAGCCCAAACCAGTTTAGAAATGAAACACGTCTAGGACCCGAGCGAAGAGGATGCGGCATTTGGATCGCCTCCAAGGAACGGTGTGAAATGCATTAGACAGCTGAGACACACCTTGGTGGCGTCATCGAAGGCGCGGGCGAAGGGGATGTCGGGGAGGCCTGCTGCGAGGCAGCCAGGGTCCACTCCGAAGCCAGCTTGGTGGCTTAGAGTCTAAACACCATCTATGTGCCGTGCAAAGGCCATGGGATACACCTTGGTGGCGTCATCGAAGGCGCGGGCGAAGGGGATGTCAGGGAGGCCTGCTGCAAGGCAGTTTCTGAGGCACCTCAGACCTGATGTTGCGAGGTGAGATGGACACACCTTGGTGGCGTCATCAAATGCCCGGGCGAAGGGGATGTCAGGGAGGCCTGCTGCGAGGCAGCCAGGGTCCACACCGAAGCCGATGCGACAGATGTTGTCAAAGGTGTAGCGCAGGAGAATGTCCTGAATGTCAATAGATGAGCCTGATTCCAAGGCCTGGCGTGGAGGAGACGAGGGAGGGTTGAAGAGCAGGGAGAAAGGGGTGTTGTCAAAGGTGTAGTGCAGCAGAATGTCCTGAATGTCGATAGATGAGCCTGATTCCAATGCCTGGTGTGGGGGGAATGAGGTAGGTTTGGGTAACAGGGAGAAAGGGGCGTTGTCAAAGGTGTAGCGCAGGAGAATGTCCTGACTGTCAATAGATGAGCCTGACTCCAAGGCCTGGTGTGGAGGAGATGGGAGAAGGGTGGGGAGGGGAGAAAGGGGAGGGAAGGAAGAGTGGAGCTGCCGTGAGGCAGGTGTAACGCAGCAGAATGTCGGGGAGGTCAGGCGCACAGGGAGGCCTGCTGCAAGGCAGCCAGGGTCCTGACTCCAAGGCCTGGGGTGGAGGAGACGAGTGAGGGTTGAAGAGCAGGGAAGGAGGGGGTGTTGTCAAAGGTTCAGCGCAGGAGAATGTCCTGACTGTCAATGGATGAGCCTGATTCCAAAGCCTGGCGTGGAGGAGATTGGGGAGGGGTGGGGGGGAAGAGGTGAGGGAAGGAAGAGTGAAGCTGCTATGTTGTAGTTGTTGTCAATTGTCTGGCGCACGAGAATGTCGATAGATGAGCCTGATTACGAGGCCTGATTTGCAGGGTGGGCAGCAGGCGCAGCTGCACCTCGTCTTGAATGGACAGCATCATGAGGTCGCGGAGGGACTAAGAGTCACACTCACACACACGCACACACCACCTGGTGAGGTGCCCCTGGAACAACTTACCGTTTGCAGGGTGGGCAGCAGGCGCAGCTGCACCTCGTCTTGAATGGACAGCATCATGAGGTCGCAGAGGGAAGACAGATGAGATGAGACGCACACACACACCACTGGTGAGCAGCACTGTGCCCTGCCCTGTTCAAGTCAAGGCTCACCGTCTGCAGGGTGGGCAGAAGGCGCAGCTGCACCTCATCTTGAATGGACACCATCATGAGGTCGCGGAGGGTAGGCTCAAGAGCCACGATGGGTTAACTCTAGAGTAGACCCATACCGACTAGAGAAATGCAGAGTTCCCTTCAACTCACCGTCTGCAGGGTGGGCAGCAGGCGCAGCTGCACCTCATCCTGGATGGACACCATCATGAGGTCGCGGAGGGTAGGCTCAAGAGCCACGATGGGTAGACAAAAAAAAAAACAGACTTCCCTTCAACTCACCGTCTGCAGAGTAGGGAGTAGGCGCAGCTGCACCTCGTCTTGAATGGACACCATCATGAGGTCGCGAAGGGAGCGCGCGGAGAACTCCAGGCTGGCTGTCTTGCGCTGCTGCTTTTACGCCTCTCCATCGCTGTTGAATATGCCATGCCCCAGCAAATCGCCGAACGAAGACTGTAGGAGTGAGGGAGAGAGAGGGGAGAGGAGGAGAGAGGGGAGAGGAGATAGTGTTTGTGAGGAGATAGTGTTTGTGAGGAGATAGTGTTTGTGAGGAGATAGTGTTTGTGAGGAGATAGTGTTTGTGAGGATATAGTGTTTGTGAGGAGATAGTGTTTGTGAGAGAGATTTGGAACTCAAGGCTGGCCGTCTTCCTCTGCTGCTTCCACGCCTCGCCATCGCTGTTGAATATGCCGTGGCCCAGCAGGTCGCCGAATGAAGACTGCAGAAGCAAGGGAGGGAGAGGGGAGGGGAGACATTGTTTGTGAGGAATTAGTGCTTGTGAGAGAGATTTGGAACTGAAGGCTGGCTGTCTGCCTCTGCTGCTTCCACACCTCTCCATCGCTGTTGAATATGCCGTGGCCCAGCAGATCGCCGAACGAAGACTGCAGGAGCGAGGGAGAGAGAGAAATGAGGCAAACGGAAATGCACAGAAACATAGGAGCAAAGCAAATCAAGTGTCATGGGCCTGTTTCAGGTAACACAAACACTCAACAGCTTTGTAATTTGTAAAGCTGTTAAAGACCGGCATGCCCGAGTCTCTAAAGAACTTTCTACAATAACTGCTGTCTTGGAAGTCGGGTCCCCCGGGTTAGTTGCTGAATTTGTTCGTTATAATATGCTTCCGCACCCAGGCATAGCAAGGAACAAGCTGGGTATTTCAAAGAGCCACGTGGCAATGACCACTGACCTGGAAGTCGGGTCCCTTGGGGTAGTTGTTGAACTTGTTCTTGAGAATGTGCTCCAGCACCTCGGGATTCGCTGCAAGGAACAGGCTGAGTAGCTCCAAGTTCCAATTCCTAATAGTAACCCCTAGACTAGCGTCCTGTGACACTGACCTGGAAGTCGGGTCCCTTGGGGTAGTTGTTGAACTTGTTCTTGAGAATGTGCTCCAGCACCTCGGGATTCGCTGTGATCACCTCGTTCATTCCGGGACCAAGAGACACGTACGTCATGGATGGAAATTCCTGCACCAGGACGGGAGGAGAGGGGATGGCACATGACACAAATGAGTCCACTTCAAAATTAACGAGTTTATGCTGGGACCAAGAGACACGTACGTCATGGATGGACAGTCCTGCACCGGGGAGGGAAGAGGACATGACACATGACGCCAAGACATGAGAATGAGAATTTCAGTCAGCAGTTTCACAATATCAGGCTCCAACGCAGTCGTGGCCATGAGAATGCAATGGCAAGATAGTGATTGCAAGAAGGTATAAGCCAGCATGGGCATGAGCTGGAACTTTACCTTTGTTCAAGGCGTTCGTTAAGCTAATAGATGTTGCCTACCTCGAGCAGTGACGTGGACCGATCCAGGAGATACGGAAAGTTGGAGAAGAGAGCTGGGATCGCCCCGAGCACAGGCCAGTGAGGAGGCCCGAACTTGCTGTTGCCTCTCAGGAAGTACTTGTACCGCCACGTGAGGTACGCTAAAGCGAGTATCAAGCCTGCCAGGACGAGCTGCCAAAGGAGAGGCATGTCGACTTCACGCGAGGCGATAGTCTCTCTGGATGGTTGGTTCTTTTCAAGCCAGGCCAACTTGAAGCCGGATTGGGGTCATGCAACTATGCAGAAGGGAGCAGGAGGGTAGGTAGACCTGGTACCTTGTCGGACCACCTTGTCTATTTCAAGTCTAGTGGAAAATTTGGGATCTCTAATCTTGACCCTGATTCTTTCTGGATGCGTCTGGCTATAAGAAAGGTTAACTTCTCCCTCAGCCAGTTAATTTGGATCAAAATTCTAGAAAGCGGTTCTAGAAACGGCTTGCCATTGCCCAGCTGGAGATGGAACTTTAAGGGACCAGCCATCTGCGCGTTTTGTGACGCTGACAAGCAATTCGGTACGAAATGCGGCGCGTGTTTCATGCGTGCATTCACAGGATGGTTGGAAACGTCACTGTCGGCATCAGAGAATGATACGTAAAGTTAACCACGACGTGACGATCCGGGCCGTTAGAAAGCGTTACGTTGCGGTGGCTTACGTCACAAAACTGCAAAGAAGCTGTACGTTTCCGTTAAGCGACGCCACATCCCGGAAAGAGTCAGCGTGATTCGCTTTTCACACCCCCCTGACGGCGACTTGGGCACAACGACGTCACGGCCTGGTCGACGCATCCGACGATGTGCGACGCCATACGAGCAGCAGCCTCGGATAGGCCGTGCGGACATACTGCTTGTCGGTACGATCAGCGTCGATTACTGTCCGGCTGAATTTCCTCGAAACTATCGAGCTTGTCGCCAGGGCGACCAACTTGCGAACAAGCTCACGTCGCTTGCCGACGACCGGTCAAAGTCTGCTTGGGATTAACAAGCTGTCGCGAGTCGCGAGTCGCTTGTCGCTCGTGCCCGTCACTCTGTCCCAACAAGAAGCTGCTCAAGACTTGAGTGACAAGCAGCTTTCCCACCTGTCGCTGTCAGGTAAGCTGAATCTGATCAGTCATCTCGAAGTTGACGGGCTGATGGGCTACGGGGTGAGTTGGACGGAGTCACAGTAGATTCGCGGTTGCAGGAGCTCGTTGTTGTCGACCAGGGTGCAGAAAGATCGAGAGCGGTTACAAATTGGAACGAACGCATCCGCGTTTTTGCGTGTATCCTTTTGCGCAAGGCCGTGCCGATGATTGCTAAAAGCGAGATTGTACCATTTTCATAGAGGATCCAACGGTCACAACATACAAGCTAGGAAAGTTGACTGGGGCGAGTGCTGCGATTGGTCCACGAACATAATTAAAGCCCTTCCGAGCCATCCATCCATCCATCCATCCATCCATCCATCCATCCATCCATCCATCCATCCATCCATCCATCCATCCATCCATCCATCCATCCATCCATCCATCCATCCATCCATCCATCCATCCATCCCTCCATCCATCCCTATCTCCCATGTCCTGAAATGGTCTTACTCGCAGAGCATCATGGCATTTGCTTTTCTTCCTTTTTCGCCTCATCCTCTAGAACCTTCTCTCTTCGACTCTCCCTTTGCACACCTCCCGCTTGACCCCCCCGCCCTTTTCCCCTTTCCTTCAGGCTCTTGACCTCTCTGGAGCTCAACTCACGATATGCACGCGTGCGTCTCTCCCACACACGACAGCCGCCACTCCCCTCCGTGCACCTCCTCCCCTCACTGCACTCCCTCTCTCTCCTCTACGTTCCATCCGACTACCTCTCCATCCCCCGCTGCTCCTCCCTCACCTCTCTCACCCTCTGGGCCCCTGAATCCTCCTCGCTCTCCTCCCTTGCCTTCTCCTCCCCCTCCCCTGTTTCCTCCTCCTCGTCTCCCCCCCTTGCTTCCTCCCCTCCATCCCCTCTCCGCACGACTCTCACATCTCTCACCATCCACTCCGGGAAACTGCAGGGTTCTCTCCCTTCCCTCTCCCTCTTCCCCTCTCTCTCCTCCCTCTCCCTCCACTCCTGCACCATCGACCCATACAAGCTCCGCTCCCTCTCACGCTCCCTCCACTCTCTCACCCACCTCACCATCCACTCCTGCCAACTCGTTTCCTCCCACTCCCTCGCCCCCATCCTTCAAGCCAACCCCGCTCTCTCCTCCCTCTCCCTCCACGGTTTCCGTTCCCTGCTCTCGCTCTCCTCCTCCCAGCTCCACTCCCTCCACCTCGCCGGCCTCTCCTCCTTCCGCCCGGGCTTGCTTGCAGCCTGCAATGCCCTCCGGTCGCTCAGTGTGGAAGGGGTGGTTGGATCCGCGGACTCATTCCCAGGCGCTGTGTCACTAGACAGCCTTGTAGGCCTGCTAGTTCAAGTGGAGCGGAGAGGAGGAGGCGCAGGATGGGGGGCAGGAGGGGATGGAGGAGCGGACGGGCGGGAGAGAGGACAAACAAGTACCCCTGCAGCAGCTGCACCAGTATTACCAAGGGGGGGCAACACGCAGTGGGCCAAGTATGTGGATATTCGCAGAGAGGGAGAGGCAGCACAGGCGGACAAGTTTGCAGCAGTGAGAGACGTTATTGATTTCTTGGCAACTGCTCAGGAGACTTATGATGCTGCTTCTGCCGAGGCCCATCAGGTGGTGCGAGCTGTAGGCGAGAGTTCTGTGGCTCGGATCACTGCCAGCCTCGGAAAGATCAGGTTCGGGATCTCAGTGTGCCGATCCTTCTCTGCCTCGGTCCGTGAGTCCAATGCGGCAATGGAGTGGGAGGAAAAACTTATGAGGTCCTTTGACGCTGCCACTGCTTCTGCTGCTTCTGCTGCTTCTGCTGCTGCTGCTGCTTCTGCTGCTGCTGCTGCTGCTGCTGCTGCTGCTGCTGCTGCTGCTGCTGCTGCTGCTGCTGCTGCTGCTTCTGCTGCTGCTGCTGCTGCTGCTGCTGCTGCTGCTACTGCTGCTGCTGCTGCTTCTGCTGCTGCTGCTGCTGCTGCTGCTGATGCTGCTCCTGCTGCTAACTCCAATGTAGCTGCTGCTGCCACTGGTCCAGTGGCATGGTTCTTTACAACAGAGCTGAATGCCGGCGAAGGGGTCAGGGATGGGGAGGAGGACGAAGGAGTTGAAATCAGGGATGGCACGCTGGCTGATGAATCCTTGCCCGAGAGTGTGCTGGGTGCGGTGCGGTCTGGTGCAGTGGAGACACATGAATAGGCCGTGAACAGGCTGCAAACGATGGTACTTGAGCTGATGGAGGCCATGCGTGCCGTGTATGCCAGCTTCCGGCGCATGCGCCGACTCAGCTCTGATCCCAGGTCTGCTCCTGCGCCATCAGCGGCGGATGCGGCATCAGCAGCAGCAGCAGCAGCAGCAGATGGAGGGGCAGCAGTGATTAGAGTGGTGGGAGGAGGGGCGGCAGGAGTATTGCAGCGGAATGAAAGCACAGTAGAAGACGGAGGGCCATCGGGGGTGGCAGCAGGGGAGACGGAAGCAGGGGAGACGGAAGCAGGGGAGGCGGCAGCAGGGGAGGCGGCAGCAGGGGAGGCGGCAGCAGGGGAGGCGACAGCAGGGGAGGCGACAGCAGGGGAGGCGACAGCAGGGGAGGCGACAGCAGGGGAGGCGACAGCAGGGGAGGCAGCCGCAGGGGAGGCGGCAACAGGGGAGGCGGCAACAGGGGAGGTGGAAGCAGGGGATGGGAAAGCAGGAGGGTGTCGTGTTGGAGAATGTCAGCCAGCAATCCCGGTGCAAGTGTTGTGCCCTCCTCTGGAATCCTTGACCCTACTATCGCTCCTCTTCTCCTCTACTCCCCGTGTTCTTTGGCTGCCCCAAACCCTTTCCTGCACGTCTCCTTCCATGTACCCCACCCCACCCGCTGCACCCGCTGCACCCGCTCCACCCGCTCCACCCGCTCCACCCGCTCCCCCCGCTCCACCACCACCTCCTTCCGCTTCTCGCCACTCATCCTCTTGCTCGGTCTCCTCCCTCTCCACCTCCTGTGCCTCAGTTTTGAGCACTCAGCCGATGTCATTTCAGTCCATTGCTCGTGTTTTGAGGCGCCTCAAAAGCACTCAGCCAATGTCATTTCAGTCCATTGCTCGGCCTGCTGCTTTTGGCCGCCTCACGCACCTTGCGCTGCTGTGCTGCGTAGGGTTGTTGGAGGAGGAGTGGATCCAACTGCTTGCTGCATGTGCCAGGTTGGAGGAGCTAAAGGTGCAGCAAAGTGACACATTTTCAGATGTGGTGGTGGCGGGAAGCAGAATGGGAAAGCTTGCAAGTTTGACTGTGATAGACTGTGATAAGGTTACAGCAGCAGGCATTGGAGGGGTTCTTGGAAGCTTCCCGAGGTTGCGGTACTTGAAGTCTTGAAGGTGGAAGTGGGGAAGGTCTCGGAAAGGGCTCGGAGAGAGTTGCTCCGTGCTGGTGTGATTGTGAGGGGGGTGTGAGTGTGACGTCAGTGACAGAATGCTGTATATATCAAGGTTGGTTTTGGGAACAATATTTCCTTACGCTTAATCATGTACATTTTTTTTAAGGTGTTGTTACAAGACATCTAGTAAAAACTCTACAGCTTCTCGGTTTTGGGTACCAATTCGCATTTTGTTGGCAAGTTCAATTCCTATATTTTCACACACCCTAAATTATTTTTGCCTAATCCTATGGGTTTTAGGATGGGAGACTCAAGCTCCCTCAAACACCATCCGTTTGTGACTCAAGTTCCTTCCTGAGTCAATGTACAGTACAATGCACCTGTGCTGTGCACCAAAAGAATTTGCGCTATGTACAATGCAACAACAAAAGGTCTTTCCTGACTGCGTATGATGGAGGTCACAGTGTCACTACTGCACTATACTGGTGGACACACTCCTGACAGCAGCATCCTGCAGTACATATTAAGAGAGAAACATGGTTACACACAAACACGGGGCAATTGGATTTAACAGGGCAGTGCACTTCAATTCTAGACGGGCAGAAACCAACATAAGCACCACTCGTTCCCGCTTGGCACGTACCTCGTTCTCTCGCTGCTGCCTCTGCCCTTGAGGGCCTCTCATTCCCGACCCGACTTAAAGCCCCACTTGACGCTCAAGCTGAAATGACCTGAGTGCTCTGAGCTGCTGGATGGAAAGATGGACTGCAAGGGTGATGGGAAGGAGGCTTGTGCCGCCGATGGGAAAGGAGGTTGCTGTGGGAAAGGAGGCTCATGTGGGAAGGGAGTTTGCTGTGGGAAGGGGCAGCTGTTTGGATGGGAGATGGGTGCAGGCGCCACCACAGGAGCGTGGGTGTGTGGTGGGTGAGCGATCAGCGCATGGCTGGATTGCAGGCGAGGCGCCTCAAGAGTGGGTCGCAATGGGGTCGGGGGAAGGACGGGTGGCGGCAGGGACGGGGCTGGCGTGGACGGGAGGGATGGTGCAGACGAGTCGTGCAGCATGCGGAGTAACTCCTGGAGCACGACAGATGGGACGGCAGAACAGAGCAGAACTATTGAGCCTCAGAAGTTGCAGCATGCCGAGAACCTCCTGCAGCACAAAAGTTTAAGTGGTTTAAATAGCAGAATGAATCATACTAAAAGTTAGTGATCTGCTCCGCACTTGAACTGCGCAGCAGGCTCGTTTTCTAAAGCACCTCTTGCAGATTAAAGAACCTCCCCCTCTCACCTCTTTTGCTTGCAGGTACTTGCTCCAGTGCCTTGCTGCAGACTCTTTCTCCCAACCCCCTGGCCCTCCATGGTATGCGTGCACCACAAACTCCTCACTGCGTGCGCTGTTACACGAGGGGCGAGATGGGGGAAGAAGGTTTTGGGTCACCCTCACTCAGGCTCTTTCTCCCAACCCCCTGGCGCTCCATGGTATGCGTGCACCACAAACTCCTCACTCTGCACGCTGCTAGGAGGGGGGAGGAGATGGGGGAAGAAGGTACATGTGAGTGCTTGCATGCGTGAATGCTTTCATGCGTGCAGGTATGTGCCATTCCCAGACCAGCTGAAACACACACTTAGAAGAACACCCTCACCACAGTTGTTCCAAGGCCAGTGAAAACGCACTCAAATGCCCTTATAGCTGGTGAGCCATGTCAGGTACGTCATGCAAGGCACAATACGTAGCAACTACAGACACATACACTCACATGCCCTTGTACGTGGTGAGCCATGCGAGGTACGCCATGCCGTAATAGACGCCGGCAAATGGGCGGCAGAGCATGGAGGATGCCACATCAGCAGCATAGGCCGGATACCCCATTTCCCTCGCCAGCCACTCTGCCGTTGACTGCAGCACCTGCAAGCAGCGGGCAGCAGGGAGAATTGGCAGCACAACACTGGGAATGGTGCCGTCAAAAGCAGCACCGTGGAGTGGATGACCCATGCTTGAATCACTTTTGAGATATCTCAAAAGTACCGCATGTCCCTCGCCAGCCACAGTTGACTTTTGAGTCGACTCAAAAGTCGACCCATGCTTGAATCACTTTTGAGATATCTCAAAAGTACTGCATGTCCCTCGCTGGCCACAGCGCTGTTCCCTCGAGCAGCTGGAGTGGTAAATGGTGAGAAGTCGACATGTCGTGTTCTTAATACAACTCAAGCATGTGCAGAGGTCAGTGGGGAGAATAGCGTGCAGTGCACCCACCACGACCGCCACTACCTAACTAGCTCTGAGCTGCTACACATGTGACATTTCTGCCCTTACCAGCATGAGCCCGGCTCTAACACCTTTCTCACGCCACCCAAGCTTCACCCGCCACCCACTCGCCGCCCGTGTTGAAGTGCACACTGCCAGCAGCGCCAACCTCAGCCACTACGCATGCCTGCCCTTACCATCATAAGCCCAGCTCCAACACGTTTCCCAAGCTTCACCCGCCATCCTCTGGCCACCTTTGCTACAGCGCACACCGCCAGCACGGCGCCGCCCTCGCTGCCCGCCAGCCCTGTCGGCCACACCAGCTTAGCTTACCATCATGAGACCAGTTCCAACATCTTTCTGACAACGCCCGAGATTCACCCGCCACCCACTCGCCGCCCTCGCTACAGCGCACACCGCCAGCACGGCGCCGCCCTCGCTGCCCGTCAGGCCTGACAACCACACCCCCTTACCGTCATGAGCCCTGCTCCAGCATCTTTCTCACAACGCCCGAGGTTCACCCGCCACCCACTCGCCGCCCTCGCTACTGCACGCACCGCCAGCACAGCGTCGCCCTCGCTGCCCGCCAGGAGTGTCGGCCACAACCGGCTTAGCTTACCATCATGAGCCCCGTTCCAACACCTTTCTCACAACGCCCGAGCTTCAACCGCCACCCACTCGTCACCCTCGCTACAGCGCACACTGCCAGCACGGCGTCCCCCTCGCTGCCCGCCAGCAATGTCGGCCACAGCCGCTTGCCTCGCCCGCTGAAGTGGCGGCGCATGAGAATGAGAACCGCCGCTTGGAGCTCTGCAAGGGAGGGTGGGGAAGGGGAGGGATGGGTGGGGGACTTTTGCGGCGGCGCCTCAAAGTCTGAAGTGGCGGCGCATAAGAATGAGAACCGCCGCTTGGAGCTCTGCACGTGGGGGTTGGTGGAGGAGAGGGAACGGGGAGGGGAGGGTGATGTGATATATTTTTTGGAATTCTAAAAAATAAAAATGCATCATTAAGGGGGAGCGGAGGGTGATGTGCCTGATAGTGCTGAGACTCCTTCCTGTATCTCCTTCCAGCACTCACTCATCCCTCACACTCTTTTTCACACTCCCTCACACACTCCTCATGCACTTCCTCACTCACCCCTCTGACCTGACTCACCCCATCACAAACTTCACTCTCCCCCACTCCCTCACTCGCTCCTCTCCTCCTCTATCTCTACCTTCGAGGCCCACGCACGGCTCTCTCTTGTCACCAAATGTCTCCATGATGAACGGAACCTTCCCGGTTGCGTCCCGCCTCTGCTCCCACAACAGCTTAACACCTGGTTGGTCCCACATGGCTCGCATGTCGTCAACATCCGTCCAGTCGTCCCAATAGACGACATCCATATTCCCCCTATCTTTGTGATTATCCATGTAGCCGTTGGGATAAATCTCTCACGCGCCTCAAGAGCCTCCGCGAAAAATCGTGTGACCTTTGAGATTAGCTTCAGAACTAGAGGGTGGAGGCTGATTCCAGAATATGTTTTCGCCGGCTGGTTCCGCGATTCGCGATTTCCGGAAAGCCGTCTTTCTCAAGGGTCGTTGTGCCTCGGCGAGTGGACTCAAAAAACACGCGGATCGATACAACTCCAGAAGGACGACATCTGATGATGCAGCATGCTTCGGACGTGAACGTCTTTGGAACTGGCGAGCCAGGCTTGAGATTCGACCACCAGAAAGGCATTCCGAGGCGAGCACGATGCGGCTGCGAGTTTGCAATGAAACGCCGAGCTGCATGGCGACGGGTTGCACCGGATGACGACGGATGACGACGGAGGGCGACGGATGACGACGGATGGTGACGGAGGGCGACGGATGGCGACGGATTGCAACAGATGGCACTGCGGACAGCGGATCGCCGGAGATGCGCGGATTTCTGCCCGTCGGCTGTGAAGCAAGCAGTGACTAGGGGGCAGTGGCATGGTGCATGCATCGCTGGAGATGCGCGTTCGTCGGACTCAAAGGCGGGTTCGCGCACACCATTCGCGTGTGACATTGTGGAAGGGGGGATGTGGGAGCATGGGTTTCGCGTTCACGCCATGCACGAAGCTGCATGACGGGAGTGTCGAGGCCGTGGCATTAGTACTAGCAGCGCGCAGACCCGCGGTTTCCCAGGTGGGTCTCACAAGACACTCGCAAGTGAAGTGATGAGCTTTAGGGCGTGTAAAATCGCCGCGCACATGCAAAATTTGCTAATGGCCGGATTTTCGGCCATTAGGGTACTTAGGGGTTCGGGTACGAGACAGCTTGGTACTTAGGGGTTCAATGGGTACTCTCGCCAAAACGGCCCAACGGATGGTGGCCGAATTTCTGGGTTCGGCGATTTTACACGCCCTTAGGGCGTGTATGCATGGCGTGTTTACAGCTCAAGAATCACTGTCTAGACTGGTATTTCTGGAACGCACAACATCGTAGTCAACCGCTCTAAACGACCTGAAATTCACCAAGCATGACACGCCCTTACGCGCTAAAGAGTTCCCTGTAATTGAACAAACTGCATGTGCAAGTGCAGTCTTTTCGTCACAAGTTGACCAAGAGCCAGGGTGACAATATGCTCACTGCTTTTGTGAAATCGAAATACTCCAAGATTCTGTCTTCCTATCCACCTCTGTTTCTCCTCTGGCTAAGGTTTCTTCAGGTTTTATTGTGGTTGTGGCGTGTAAGAAACAGTATTCCCCATGCATTAGAAGGAACAGTTCTACCGTATGTATAAGAAAGGCTCTATGTACAACAAAGAAAAGGTCCTGCAAGAAAAAGATCCCTCTATGTACAAGCAATAAAAGCTCTCTCTATGTACAAACAAGAAACGCTGCCTCTATGTACAAGCAAGAAAAGCTCCCCCTACGTACAAGCAAGAAAAGCTCCTTCTGTACACAGCCCAGGGCTCATGTCACTGCTACAGTACGAGTAGATACACTTCTGGCAACAGCATTTTCTAGTGGCAGAGACTGATGGAGCGCCCACTCATTCCGACAAATACCATCACTTGCCCCTCTGCTGCCTCAGCCTTGCAGGGCAACTCATCACGGATTGCTCCATTTGAGGCTAAAACCAAGGGAGTTCCACGTGCCATACTCCGGCTGCATGAAGGCGGGAGGGTTCTGGTATGAAGTCGAGGAGGACCCGGGGCATTGTGGGCCGGGGTTCAGGTTTGGAATCAAGGACCAGGGGCATTGAGAGATCAAGGGGTCAAAGGGTGGAAGTAAGGAGGACCCGAGGAATTGAGGGATGGCGGGGTTCAGGGTTGAAATCAAGGGGGACCCCGGACATGTTGCGAAGCTGGAGAAGTCGAACGGTGCTGGTGCGAATATTTCCTGCAAAAATATAAGATCGAATCAGATCTGAAATCAGAATCCATATATCAGAGAGCCATATCGAAAGCACTGCTGGACAGCTTTTCCTTTCCAAAAGGTTGCTCCTCTCACTCTCCCCTACCCTTCCCAGTGCCTTGCTGCAGACAAAGCTTGTCAAAAATCTTCCACCACCCCACACCCCTCCCTCCTACTCCCTTCTCTCACCTGTTTCGCCTGCAGGTACTTGCTCCAGTACGTTTCAGTACCTGGAATATCCATCCCCCGTGGCCCGCCATTGTAACAGCGCACCACAAACTCCTCATCGTGCGGGCTGTGTGTTGCGAAAAGGTGGGAGGAGGGGGTTGAAGACACATATTTCATGTGCGTGAGTCTGCTCCATCCAAGGCTACAATATTGCTCAAATCAAAAGCGGTTTCACGGTCCCACCCCCTAGCTCTTCTGTTGACTGGTCGCACCGCGTAATCCTCACTGGCAAGCACGTGCACACCAGCAATACTCGCTCGCGGTTGTGCGCGGTGCGGTGTGGTGAGCGATGCGCGGTACGCCATGCCATGCCGTCTTACGCACAATCTTTCAAACGGTCAGTAGTGCAAGCACACACACTCGCACGCACGCACGCACGCACGCACGCACGCACGCACGCGCGCGCGCACGTACAGCCATCACACATCACACAAGGCCTGACAGTGCACTCACGTGCCCTTATAGTTGGAGACATGCGAGGTACGCCATGCCATAGTTTACCTTTGCGACGCCTCAAAAGTCGCACGCGCACACAGCCATCACACGGGACACAGGGCCTGACAGCGCACTCACATGCCCTTATAGGTGGAGAGATACGAAAGGTACGCCATGCCGAAATACACCGCCTTAAACGGGCTGTAGAGGTCGGGATTGGACACGTCCACATGGTAGACGTCGAACCCCATGTCCTTTTCCAGCCACATTGATGTTGACTGCAGCACCTGCAGTTGGCAACAAAACAGCACGGCAGCAAAAGAAGAAGAAAGTGATTGAAGAGGCAGGTGTGTAACATCACATGTGTAGGCGCGGTACCCCACGTCCTGTTTCTGCCAGTTGGCTGTTGACTGCAGCACCTGCAGTCACAAGCACAGCAGCATGGCATGGCAGCACGAGAAGAAGAAAGTGATTGACGGGAAACAAGAAGAATGGTACAAGCAACACCTGCAGAAGCCGACAGGAGATCTGACGGGAAACATGAAGAACGTTTCCGGACTGCTCCGAACAGTTCCCCTTACCTGCATAAGTCCGGTGCTGGCTTCCCCAAGCTACCTCTCATAGCGATACGCCAGCGGCTGCCACGCGCTCTCCACAACACACATGCTCATCCCACCCGTCGACCTGCCTATCACAACCGCTCCCGCCCGCCATACCTGCATGAGTCCAGTGCTGGCCTCCCCAAGCTTGTTTTCAAAGCGGTAAGCCAAGGGCTGCCACGCGCTCTCCACGCGCGCAATCGCCGCCGCCAAATCCCCCTCACTGCCCGCCAGCCCTGCCAGCCGAGTCCCGCTGAAGTGGCGCGACTCGATAATCGACGCCACTGCGTGCATCTCTGAGGACAGGCGTTGGGGGGGGAGGGGTGGGGTGGGGTGGGGGGGGGGGGGCTTTGAATGAGAAGTTTTGAGACGTCTCAGAATCTGCTGGAGTGTCGACGCCCCAGAATTAAAGCCATAATACTGGGGGTGTTTTGGATGGAAAATACTAAGCATCGGCCCGAGGAGCTCCGCAAGAGAGAGAGAGAGAGAGAGAGAGAGAGAGAGAGAGAGAGAGAGAGAGAGAGAGAGAGAGAGAGAGAGTGAGAGAGAGAGAGAGAGTGAGGACTTAGCCTCTGTCCCTTGCCTCTGTCCCTTGCCTCTAGGCTATATAAGGGTCCCGTAGGGGCCTCTTCCCCTCATTAGTTCATTCAGTTTCCAGATTTTCGTAGGCGGAGAGAGAGCGAGAGAGAGTGAGGACTTAGCCTCTGTCCCTTGCCTCTAGGCTATATAAGGGTCCCGTAGGGGCCTCTTCCCCTCATTAGTTCATTCAGTTTCCAGATTTTCGTAGGCGTTCGCGCCGGCGGCCTGCGGCCGCCAGCGCTCGCGTTGCGCGGCCTTCGGCCGCGTGCTTCGGGGTGGCAAGGATTAGCAGCAAGGAAAACAATAATCACACTACACAAGACAGCGATGGGCCACGCGCCAAGCTACTAGATCACAAGATGCAAAGGGTCTACGCGCGGAGGGCGCCGGAAACTACATCAGATGGGCCTCCAGCGCCGCGAGGATACCAGGCATGGTCCTCCACAGTTGCTGGACCACTAACGCGGTCGCGCCTACAGCTTCAACCCCGCCACCAGCCCGGAGGTGTGCGGTCAGACCCTGGCCCGTTCCGTCCAGTTCTGAAACCGCAACGCCTCCCATCGCGGGCGCTCCCAGCAAGGGTAGGAGGAGGAAGGCAAGTTGCGCAGCCGCCGCCAAGCAATCTCCTCGCGCCTCACGACCGAGAGTGCTCCCTCGGCTCTGGAGAATGGCGAAGTGCGCATTCACCAGAATCAGTGTCAGGGCCTGCTGGCACTCCACCAAGCGCCACAGCTGCGCAAGGGTCGCCGTGGGAATTTGAGCCATTCCCGTCCTCAACGCGGCAGGCGGAACGGGAAGAGGGGGCGGAGGCTGCACGGATGGAGCTTCAGCGAAACGACGAGGAGGAACGAAGGCTCCCCTCGCCCCTCCGCCTCCCACTCCCACAAATCCCGTGTCCGGAAGAGGGGGAATCCAGGGCAGGGGCGGATACTGCGAGGCAGACACAGGACGAACGTAGGCAGGCGGAGCACGGTCACCGCCAGGAGGAGGAGCCCGCGGGTACGCAGATGCGTGCGGAGCAGGCGCAGCAAGGGGCGCGGCCGGAACCTCCGCATTCACAGGAGCGGGAGCGGGCGCAGGGGCGGCGGGAGCCGGGGAGCTACCAAGATTCGGTGCGCCATTCAGAGCGTTGCGCATCGCCGCTGCGAGCATCCCCGGGAAATCCTCGCGCAGCTGCTGCATCTCGCTCGGCCCACCGCGCCCGCGACCGTGACCTCCCCACCAGCCACCGCGACCTCCGCGATGCGCCGAACGATACGACGAGGAGGGGCGACGCCGAGGAGAACCTCGCCCCCGATGCGCTGCTGCATTGCCCCCCACGGCAGCGCGTATCTGAGACTCCGCGAGCCGCTGCGCGACGGGATTCACCGGCGCAGCCGAAGGGGCAACCAAGTGGGCAGAATCGGGGCCGGCGCCCACCGCTGTCCCCAGCGCAGGGCCCCCAGCGACAGCTTGGGCGGGCAGCTGCGCCACATGCGACGGCTGCGCAACGGGAACCGGCGCACCGGACACGGGAACAGCGTGCGGAAGGCCTGGCGGGGGCACCTGCGACAACGGGAGCGGAACCGCGGATGTCGCTACAACAGCAGGGGGAGCCGCGGGGAGTAGGGGAGCAGCAGCAACAGCAACAGCGGCAGCAGGGGCCTGAGGCGGAGCAATCGCACTCTCAGCGGTGTGACCTTGGCCCACCGCTGACTTCTCCGCTTCAGTCGCCATTACGGCGAACGCGTCGGCAGCAGGCGATCGAGGACGCAAGGTCGCGCCAGAGCGCGGGAGGAGCGAGTCGAGGGAATCCTCCGCCGGCGGCGGCAAATGCGCGGACGCGCGGGGGCCGTGCCGGAGGCCGAGGTCGTGGAAGGAGTATGCGCGAAGGCGGACCGGAGAACGCGTTCCAGACGGCGGCGCGTAGGGCTTTAACGGAGTTGGTAAGAGCTAATGAAGCAGATGCTTTGTCGGGGAGTATTTATGAGGCGGAGGAGGAGGAAGCAGACTCAACCTCGAATGCCTCGGAGGAGGCCCAGTCACAGACTCCTGCACAGCAGAGAGGCAACCCAACCCACGCCCGAAGCGTGGCAACAATTTCCATTCACGCACCCACCCAGCCGCGACCACCCCCACAGATTCGAACCGCTCCCAACAACCCTGACACCACTGCCAACCAGCCCGCCCAACAAATCCCGCCACCAACACCTGGGATTGAACCACGAACTGCAGCGAGGGGTAACCAACAGCAGCCACAACCCCTCCCCCAAAAATCGCCCGAAGCCCTCGCCAAGGACGACACACTTTTCGCAAGTGTCAGTAACTGGAATCTGGACAATCTACGCGACAGTCGCAACGCACCTCTAGCACGTCGCCTTCCGGAAAAGCTGCGTCTGCTTTTCGCAATGGTCTTACTGACACCACTGCTGCGACTCGCCGACGACCCTGATAGCACCCAAGCCTGGACGGTTCTGCTGTTTGCCGCTCGCCTGACATTGCGTCAGCAGTCGCCGAAGCACCCCGATTGGAAGGCGACCAGAAGCAGATTGCGTAAATTCCTGCGAGGGGAGTGGGAAGCACTTTACCAGGAAACGGTGGATTCGCTGGAGCAGCCCCCACCCCCCAGGAACCAACCGGATGACCTGGGGGTTATCTCCAGGGCAGAGGGTCTGGCGCGACGTGGCAGTCTGCGAAGGGCTGTCATGGCACTTGAAGCGACACCAGTCAGCAAGCCGACCCCAGAAGTTCTGGAATCTCTTCGCGCCAAACACCCACGTGCCCAGCACCCCGACACACCGTGGCCCCAGCCTGAGCCGGACACTTACCTGGCAGTGTCGCGAGAAGTTTTCATGAAGCTTCTCTCAAAGTGTGAAAACGGGGTTGGCGCTGGCCCCTCAGGCACGACGTTCGAACACCTGCGCGAAGCTGCACTGATGCACACGGCGGTCAGCTCACACTTACATGCGCTTGTCAACACGATCCTTCGCGGGAAGCTGCGCACGGAGGTTGGGGGGCTTCTTACCGCATCACGGTTGATAGCCCTCGATAAGCCAGATGGAGGGACAAGGCCAATAGCAATAGGCGAATGCCTCCTACGACTGGCAGCCAAAGCAACGCTCACTCAGCTGGCAGAAGCGGCTAGGGAATTTTTCTTACCATTACAGTTTGGAGTTGCCGTGCCGGGGGGAGCAAAAGCAGTGATTCACATAGTTAGAACTTTCACCTCGGCCAATCCAGAGGCGCTAGTCCTGCAGGCGGATCTTGCTAACGCCTTCAACAGCGTCGATCGCCTCGCCATAGCGACAGCGCTGAAAGGCTCGCATCTGGAGCCGCTACTGCCTTTGGTGATCTTCTCTTACGGCCAGCCGTCTGCACTTCACCTGGACGCAGCTTTTGACCACGCGCCCTTGCTCAGCGAGACTGGAGTCCGCCAAGGGGACCCCCTCGGCCCCCTTCTTTTTGCCGCGGCCATGCATCCGGCTCTGAAGGCTGTTGCGGAGACGCACCCAGATGTCATCTGCCTTGCTTACGCGGACGATGTTACCTTCTTAGGGGACCCGTCGTCATGTGCGGCCGCTTTTGATCATTTCACGAGCCTCCTGGCGGAAATCGGGCTCAAACACAACCCCGCCAAGTGCGGGGCCTGGTCCAATAAATCGCCGGCGGACTACACCCTGCCCGAGGGGGTTCCACTCAGCAGCGACGGGTTGAAAGTGCTGGGCAGTTACATCGGCACCCCAACAGCCACATCCGCCTTCATACGTTCCAGCCTGGAAGCGATGGGAGCGCCGCTGGGATTGATAGAACGAATGGAGCCTCAGCTGGCGGGACTGCTGCTGTCTCGGTGCGTCTCGCGCCGAGTGTCTTACTTGGCCCGCACGACTCCCCTTCCGTCCCTGCCCCAGGTGGAGTGGTCCGAATGGGGGAGGCGACTGCTGGATACCCTGCTCTCGGCATGCGGCATAAACCACCCGCGGGGGGAGGAGGAAATTTCACGCACTTGGGCGCAGGCCTCCCTCCCCGTCTCGCTTGGTGGGCTCGGACTGACAGACCCGTCCGTGGAGGGAAGCTACAGCTTCCTCGCCAGCTACACGCAGGCTCATCTCCTGCTGGACTCCCTGGAGGACGAATGCACCGGCCCATTGGAAGTAACACGCGAGGTGATGCGCGGTCCCTACACTCAGGCCTCCCCCTTGACCGAATGGCTAGCGAAATGCGAGGAGGAGCTCCCACTGCCAGCTCAGGAAGCCCTGCAAGCAGAGAGAACAGCCCCAACCGCAGGGAAGCTGCAGCACGGGCTGGCCACGGCTATCCAGGGCCAGCGCTATGCTGTCCAAGTGGAGGAGGTGAGGGGGATGAGCCCGAACCCGAACAATGGTCACACGCAGCGGATGATGTCCCTGTCGGGGTATGGCGCAGGGGATTGGTTAAACGCGGTGCCTCTGCACCGCGCGCTACACCTTGAGGCTCCGCACTACGCCAATGCGCTCCAGTTTCGGCTGGGGCTCCCCTTTGCGGCTCCCGGGGTCTGCAATTGCTCGAAGAAGGTGCAAATCCCAGACAAGCGGCTCCCAAACCACCTGCTACGATGTGGGACAGGGGGAGGGCGCACAAACACGCATAATGAGCTAAGAGATGAATGCGCGCGAATGGCGCGCGACGCAGGCTTCATGGTGCACATCGAAACGGCCGCTTTCAGCCCAGTGGAAGAGAAGAAGGCTGATCTGGCCCTCCGCTGCCGCTCCAATGGCGCCGTCTACATCTGTGATGTGACGGTGACGGATCCCATCAGCACCCGCGACAAGAATGCAACTAAGGGGCGGGGGTGGGCAGCACGGGAAGCAGCAGATAAGAAGCACGGCCTCTACAAGGACCGCCCCGAGTGGGTGAAGTTTTTCCCGCTTGCGGTCGAGACTTATGGGTGCCCATGCCCTGAGACAGTGGATTTCCTGAAGCTGCTCGCGGAGACGGCTGCAAGGCGGTTTTTTAACGCCGAGCCAACCTCCTACCAAGCTGCCAAGCTCTTACACCAATATCGGCAGCGGTGGTCGGTGGCTCTACAAAGGGGGCAGTCGATTGGATACTTAGAGAAGTGCAGCATAGCGGCTGCAGTAGAATAACCACTGCTGGAGGCAGTAGGTGAGGCTCCGTCCCTAGGGGACTGCCTCTCGGTCCTTGATCCTGCGCTGGACCTAGCTTAGGGGGGGGGGGGGGGAATGGTAGAAGAGTAGTAAGAGGCTTTATGCACCAGACTCACAATAGCTACCACCTTGCATGCCTGTAAGTCTTATGATAATCAATGAAAGGGCCATTCGAGAGAGAGAGAGAGAGAGAGAGAGAGAGAGAGAGAGAGAGAGAGAGAGAGAGAGAGAGAGAGGAGAGGAGAGCTTGGCGGCAAGGAGACGGATGTTGAAATGGACGTGTTAACGTGCGAGCGAGAGTATGTTACGTTAGCGCCACGAGACAGAGCGAGAGTATGTTGCTGTCTCGTGTCACCACCACCACCACCATCACCACCACCACCATCCGCCATCCGCCACCACTGCAGCTCTGGGGTGATGGTGGTGGTGCCCGAAGCGAAGGAAGAGGGGGGGCCAGGCCACCCGCGGACCACCACTGCTACTCCGAGAAGGAACCTAGTAAACGGAACTCTTCTCGTCTCCTCTCTTCGATCTTCTCCCCTCCCCTCCTCTTCTCCCTCTCCACTCCTCTCCTGCTCTCTCGCCCTCCTCTATCTCTCACCTTCAGACGTGAGGTAAGGCACCATCTTCTTGCCAACTCTTTCCATCATGAACGGAACTTTCCCGGTTGCGTCGAGCCTCTTCTCCCACAGCGGCTTAACATTGGGATCAGCCCACATGGCTCGCCTGTCGTCGTCATTCGTGTAGTCGTCCCAGTAGTAAACGCGACCTCCCTGGTTCGCCATGACCGTTAGGATAAACTTCTGACGCGCCTCAAAAGTGACCGTTGAGAGAGGAACTTCAGATCTATTCCGGGCGAAAGTTGATTTCAGAGTCAATTCTCGTCGGCGCACTCGCGTCTGGCGGAAAACTATCTCCCCAAGCGCCAAATTAAGTAAACTCGAAGCACCGGATCGCCAGTCGCCAATTCTCAATCGCCGAATCGCCAATTTTCGATAGCCGAATCGCCAATTTCCGATCGCCGAATCGCTGTTTGCCGTGGCGATTCGGAAATAGTGGGGCGGTGGCATGGCGTTGCATTGGATTTACCGGAAATGCGGTCCGGCACTGGTGGCCGAGGTGAATGGAAATCTTAAGCCTGTGAAAGCGTGTAAGGGGGAAATGGGAGGAGGTGGGAATAGGAGGGAAGCAGGTATGTGGACGGGGTTCACGTTATGCATGTGGTTGCATGCAAGGCGTGCTTGTAATCTCCCCGAACGCAATTCCCTAGTGGCCGAGCGTTGAATTCCACGCCTGTGAAAGCGGGGGTTCGCGCTATGAAAGGCGTGTTAGAGGAGAGGAGCAAAAAGGCGTGAGGCTGAAGGCGTGTCCAGATTATGGAGGCGTGCGTGGCGCTTTCCCCAGCCACACCTCGGGTTTGCCGAGTGGAATGTGCACTGCGTTGTGCCGTTGACCCGGCGGGAAATGGGTAGTTGATCATTTCCTTGACGCCTTATAGAGTCGAACCTCTAACAGAACAATTACAAAAGACAGAGAAATAGAACCAGAATTATTACAAAAATTGATGGGCCAATCACATAATCTCGCAGCTCTGATGTGGCAAGTTGTTTCTAAAAGCGCATGTTATTTTGAAAGTGAGATTCTTTAATATAAAAGGTTCTATTGATGGGGACTAACAAATATTCCGTGATCACACAAGTCGGCTGCAGCATGGCGGAATCTTGATTGCCAAAACGCAAGCGCTTTTCTCACATGTACCGTAACACATCTGTCAAGAAGAGCTGCATTCACAACAAAAAATCGCACTAGCACCCGTGCTTACACCTTCCATTTGATTACGGCTTAGATGGTAGAGTAACGCTTAGCATGCGGGAGATGTGGGCATAGATACCCCACTTCTCCAAGGGATGTTTCGGTTTTCTCCTTTAGTGGCACTATTTGATGTTCACTGTGTGACTGTTCATACAAACAACCATATGGGAGACTCAAGCTCCCTCATTGCTGATGTTTCAGTTCCTTCACAGAAGCACCATCGGTTTGTCACTCAGGTTCTTTTTTGAGTCTATGTACAATGCACCTGTGCACCAAAAGAATTTGCACTATGTACAATGCAACAGCATAAGGTCTTTCCTGAGTCTGGGGGTCATGGTGTCACTGTGCACGATACTGGTGGAGATACTCCTAACAGCAGCATCCTCCAGTACAGATTAAGAAACGAACATGGTTACACGCAAATACTTAGCAATCGGATTGACGGCGCAGTACACTTTCAATACGAGACGGCCAGAAACCGACGTAAGCACCACTCTTTCCTGCCTGATACAAGCACGTACCTCGTTCTCTCTCTGCTGCCTCGGCCTCTCATTCCCGACCCGACTTAAAGCCCCACTTGACACTCAAGCTGAAGTGGCCTGATCGCTCTGAGCTGCTGGATGGGAAGGCGGACTGCAGGGGTGATGGGAAGGAGGTTTGTGCTGCGGAAGGGAACGGGGCTTGCTGAAGAAAGGGGGTTTGCTGGGGGAAAGGCGCATGCTGAAAGTAGGAGTTTTGCTGTGGGAAGGGGGTTCGAGGAACTGTGGGGAATGGGCCTTGTGGGCCTGGTGGGAAGGCGGCTGGCGGGAAGGAGACTGCGGGGGCTGTGGCTAAGCGATCTTGCGGTGCTGCTGCAATGGTCGCCTGAGGGCCAGCTGTAATGGGCAAAGAGGGAGCTTGACTCCCGGGATTGCTCAAAGAGCAGCCACTCGGATGGGAGACGGGTGCAGGCGTGAGAGAAAGGTGGTGGTGGAGTTGTGGCGGGTGAGCGACCAACGCATGGCCGGATTGCAGATGGGATGGCGACCAATCACGAATGGATGGGATGGAGGGAAGGACGGGTTGCGACAGGGACGGTGCTGGTGTGGACAGGAGGGATGGCATGGCTGAGCCATGCAGCATGTGGAGAACCTCCTGCAGCACGGAAGATTGGATAGAGGAACATAAGATTACAAATAGCATCGAGTCTAGCAAGCAGGAAGTAAACATTTAACACCATGGTTAGCTACCTATAACCACAGCATCTATCTCCCCAAAACAATGCTCCTCTCTCTCCCTCGATCGATCCAATCGTAGCATATTTCTACCACACCTCCGACATCCCGTCACCTGTTTCAACATTCTGCACTTCCTTATCTATTCCCCACACCCCACCTTTCACCTCTCACCTCTTTTGCCTGCAGGTACTTGCTCCAGTGCACCGCTGCAGAAAATATTTCCAACACACCGCTCACCACCTGACAACCTACCCTCCTCTCACCTCTTTCGCCTGCAGGTACTTGCTCCAGTGCACCGCTGCCGATTCTTTCTCCCATCCCCCTGGCCCTCCATGGTATGCGCGCACCACAAACTCCTCACTGCGTGTACTGTCAGGCGAGATGGGGGAAGCATGTATGTGTGTGTGCTTGCATGCGTGATTGCTTGCATGTGCGCCCAAGTATTTGCCATTCCCACACAAGCTGAGACAGAACAAAAAAAAAAAAGCCCCTCACCACCATTGTTCCAAGGCCAGTGATAATGCACTCACACGCCATTGTACGTGGTGAGCCATGCAACGTACAGCAGAGCAATGGCCTGACAGATGCCAACAAAGCCACGCAAATTCCCGCACTCACATGCCATTGTACGTGGTGAGCCATGCGAGGTATGCCATGCCGTAATAGAGGCCGGCAAACGGGCGGCAGAGCATGCCGGATGCCACGTCAGCAGCATAGGCCGGATACCCCATTTCTTTCGCCAGCCACTTTGCTGACTTCTGCAGCACCTGCAAGAAGGGGCCAGTAGGGAACATTGGCAGCAGAGGGGAACGGTAGTGTCAGAAAAACCACCTTGGTTGGAGTGTATGAGCTCAAGTCAATAGTATAATGTGACATTAGTATAATGCCCAGTACCTCATGTATGACTCCCCTCGCCAGCCATTCCCCTATTTGCTGAAGCACCTTCCATGATTGGTAGTAGAATTTGAGGAGGCGTTTTCTTAATATAACTCAAGCATGTGCAGTGGTCAGAGGGGACTACACATGTCTGCCCTTACCATCATGAGGCCCACTCCAACAACACCTTTCTCGCCGCCCTCGCTACAGCGCACACCGCCAGCACAGCGTCGCCCTCGCTGCCCGCCAGCAATGTCGGCCACAACCGCAACCACTTACCACCATGAGCCCTGCTCCAACACGTTCCTCACAACGCCCGAGTTTCACCCGCCACCCACTCGCTGCCCGCGCCACAGCATCCCCCTCGCTGCCTGCTAGGTGTGTCGGCCACAACCGCTTGCTCCCCGTGCTGAAGTGGCGGCGCAGGAGAATGAGAACGGCCGCATGGAGCTCTGCACGTGGGGGAGAACGGGAAGGAGGAGGACGGGGGGCGGAGCGGAGAGCGGGGAGGAAGGGTTGACACGCTTGTGTGTGACTGTGCGTCTTCTGTGGCCACAAACGCTTGTCCCCCCTGCTAAAGTGGCGCGCATGAGGATGAGAACTGCCGCGTGGAGCTTTGCACGTGGAGATTCGGGGCAGGGGAGTTTTGAGGCACCTCAAAAGTCGCTGAAGCGGCGGCGCATGAGGATGAGAATCGCCGCGTGGAGCTCTGCAGGGGAGGGTGGGGGAAGGGGGCGGGGGGTTGGGGGACTTTTGCGGTGGCGCCTCAAAGTCGCTGAAGTGGCGGCGCATGAGGATGAGAACTACCGCGTGGAGCTTTGCAAGTGGGGATTCGGGGCAAGGGAGGAGAAAAGGAAGGGGAGGGTGAAGTGCCTGATAGTAAGTCCAAACAGAGGAAGGCAGAGAGGAAGAGAGTGCAGCTCCAAGCTGCCAAGCTCTTACACCAATACCGGCAGCGGTGGTCGGTGGCTCTTCAACGTGGGCAGTCGATTGGGTACCTAGAAAAGTGCAACATAGCAGCTGCGGTTGAGAACCCGCTACTAGAAGCAGTGGGTGAGGCCCCGTCCCTTGGGGACTGCCTCTCGGTCCTTGATCCTGCACTGGATCTCACTTAGAGGGTGCGGAGCTGATGACTGAATAGGAACTACATACTGTACTAGCCCCACGACCGTGGTAACTCATACCTTGCATGTCTGTACACCTTGACTATCAATGAAAGGGCCATTAGAGAGTGCAGGGCTGTTTCCCGGAAATCTTCACTTGGCGTGCTTTAAGTGATGGTGGAGGCGAGATTACATATCGATTCTTCCCCGAAATTCCTTCCAGTAGCTCCTTCCAGCACCCACTCACCCCTCAAACTCTTTTCACACCCCCTCCCTCACTCCCTCACCCTGACACACTCCCTCACCCTGACACACTCCCTCACTAACTTCACTCTCCCTTACTAAATTCTTTCCTCCTCGGTCCCTACCTTCAAGGCTAACGCAGGGCACACTCTTCTCGCCGACTTTCTCCATCTTGAACGTAACCTTCCCAGATGCTTCCCGCCTCTGCTCCCACAACAGCCTAACACCGGGTTGGCCCCACATGGCTCGCATATCTTCGCCATCCGTCCAGTCGTCCCAATAGACGACATTAGTACCCCCACGACTTCCGTGGTTATCCATGTAACCGTTGGGATGAACTTCTGATGCGCCTCAAAAGTCTTCGCAAGTACTCGTGTAAGATTGGCCTCAACCGTTGAAATTGGCTTCAGAGCTAGGGTGAAAGCTGATTCTTGAGGTGGCTAATCAAACGTCACCTCGTTGAGATGAACTTCAGGCTTCAGGACTTGAGGGTGGAAGCTGATTCCAGAATATATTTTCGTCGGCCGGTATCGC